AAAAAATTCAAATAGTCACAACTTGAAAACTAATTTAAATAATGATAAGGGGTCTTCAGTAACTTGGCCTCTATCATTATTAGGCGGCATCTAATACTATAACTCATGATTTTAACCTTATTTTACATGATTTCCAAAACAACAGTCGATCCAGGTGAGCGACTTTTGAGAGCCTCTAGTTTTATGTACATATATTTCTTTTAATATATTATTATCATGCATATTTTTTTAATATAAAGTACATTGTATCTAACCTTTAACCCCGCCGCATTTTTGCGCCTGTCCCAAGTCAGGAGCCTCTGGCCTTTGTTAGTCTTGTGTGTTTTTTAATTTTAGTTCATTTATATGTTTTGGAGTTTAGTGTGACGTCCATTTTCACTGAACTAGTACACAATTTTATTTAGGGGCCAGCTGAGGACCACCTCCTGGTGCGGGATTTTCTCGCTGCGTTGAAGACCAATTGGTGGCCTTCGTCTATTGTGTGCTCTTTGGTCGGGTTGTTGTCTCTTTGACATATTCCCCATTTCCATTCTCAATTTTATTTACCAATTGCTATAATTGCGATTGTGCTACTGATAACGATTGTCTGTAATTTGCTTCCGATGTGGATTCTGTTAGTGTATATAAAAACAAATCGGGAAAATGTTGATTTATCAAACAAAATTTATGATAATTATTGACAATATAATACTTCCATGCTTAGAATAAAGGTTTGGCGTTAAGATTTTGATTTATTTAGATCCAGCTTTGGATGGAATATTAATAGCAAGACCAGGAAATTTTGCTATGGAACACCGGTTATAAAGTTCAATTGATTAACATAACTAAACAACAATAGTGTAACTCTATAATCAGTAAATCTAGAATACGACCTTTCATTGAAAGCTCTTGAGTAGAGTACGTCGATCCATTGAAATCCCTCAAGTGTATTATGCTTGACTAAAGTGGACTGAAATCTCCAAAATGGACAGGAAGCTTCCAGACGGACGCAAACGTGATTTTGTTGATAGTTATTAAAGTTAGTTGTTTGTTTCACAGATAGAAAGATAGATAGATAGATAGATATATTTGATCAAATATCAACATCAAACATTACATATGCAAGCTAGTATGAAACAATAGAAGCATGGGACATCACCCGGGTTTATACTTAATTCATAAAATCTTATAACAAGTTTTGAAACTTATCTGGATTGCCCATAAAAGCATTCCGGCCTTCCAATTATGTTGTATTCTTAAAAATGTTAAAATATAGTTAAAAAAAAATCATGACTTTGGCAGGTTTTATACTAGACAGTGGCTATATTTCCGGCGCCGGCAAAATAAAAAATATGCTATTTTTCCGGCTCTGATTAAAATATCTCAATTAAAGTCGGAAAAATAGCATATTTCTATAGCAATGGCTATTTTACCGGCGCCGGCAATATAGTGATTTTTTTATTTTGCCGGTTCTTTGTAACGAGTGAATTTTAATATTTACCTTTGAAAATGTGTATTGTCAACATAACAGAATCAAAGTATTACTCATTAAGTTGAGAGAAAAAAAAACAGTAACAATATTTGAGTTACATATAATCTGATAATTTATGAGTCCAAGTGAAAAAAGAATTTGTAAAAAAAATATTGTAAAAAAAATATATAGAGCACCCACTCGTAGGCTGTAGCAATGAAATCATAACAAAACATGTAGTTGATATTATGGTTAGATCATATGTTTTTGTACGTCATATGAATTCGTACTATGCTTGCTTTTACAATGGAAATTTTGACGCCACAATGCGTTCTTAATATCACGGAAACCGGTAAAACAAGGATACTTCTAAAATCAGTCACAGTCTGTAATGCTTCATGTATGCATGAGAAGTCACAGTCTGTAATGTTGTAAAAAAATAAAAGTTAAAAATCTCATTGCATATAAATTTGATAAAACATTCATGATACAATCTAACAAAATCAGCCACATATAGCTTCAAAATCAAAAATGTTTTAAATGAAATTTGCTTTTGAAATAATAGTCAGTTCTTTGGATTGCATATCTGTAAACAAAATCGTTTTTACTGTCAAAATTGGCTTCCGCTTAACAAGAGCCGGCAAAATAAGCATATTTTCTATTTTGCTGGCGCCGGCGAAATAGCCACTACCTTTATACTAGTAACTATAATTATTGTTGAAGATCAGGGGCGTAGCTACTTTCTTAATGAAGTGGAATCACAAACTGAAGGGCAAGGGGTCTGGCAAAGCCCTGGTAGGGGGGCCTGGGAGGGGGGCGAAGCCCTCCGTAAGCTCCGCATATATAGCGTTTCAAAACAATCACAACCGTAATAAAACTTGTACATTTTTGTTATGGTTTTTTGGTCAACTATTTGTTTAACTTCGAGTCGAATGAAGACTAAACATTGTTGTGTGAGTGTATATGAGTTTCATAAAATTTGGAAGAGGCAAACTTTAGTTAGAGTACAGAAATGAAAAAAAATGGACGGACGGAAGGACGGACGGAAGAACAGTCAAGGGTAACACCTAATGCCCAATTCGTCTAGCGGCGGGGCATAAAAATGTGTCTCTTCAACATCACTTAGTATAATTTATGTATATACAAATCGGAAAACTATAATTCATATATTTATGTAAGTTTCATGTCTACAGACATAAGGATAGACAAATAAAAATGTCCAAAAGGAAAAATACATATGTCCATGAAGGTATGATATTTTTAATACTGCAAACAAAATACTGCAAAAATGACCTATGAGGAGCTTCAGCGTCTTCATACAAAATACTTCAACATGTTTTTGTTATATTTTTTGTTTTTGTTTTTTTTGGGGGGGAGGGGGCTTTTTTATCCAGTTTTGAATACCAAGGGAATTCTGAAGGAGATGATTTTATTTTCATCGTATGAGGCATAACTCTTAAGCCTGTCAACCAATGAGCTGAGTCTTTTTTTACTAAATACAAAATCGACAACTGTGAGCTATTGCTTACTAGTTACGACTAGGAAACCCTACATTACAAAGTGGTAGGGAGGGAACTGACAGGTAAAATTCATGAAGCTTGTTACTAAATATTAGATTTCTGCCAGAAATAGTTCCTGAGAAAAATGCCACGAAAACTTCCATGTATGACCATATGTACGAAATTAAAAAGATGTCGGGTAAAAGGAAGTAGGAAAATGAGGAGTATTTTGCTGTGATGAATAGTTGCTGCTGAGAAAAATGTTGTAACGGACGGACGCACTGACAGAGATACACAGTAACCAGTATACCCCGTACTCCGTTGGGCAAAGAACGGGAGGATAAAAAGAAAAAAACGCATGTCATTCACAGTAAGTGCATTCATGATGTGGGAACCAAACCAGTCGTTTTTACAGGTGGTGGCCACAGATTGCACAACTAATCTATTAACGTAGAAAATACATTGTGTATATATATTGTTCAATTTCTTTATAATTTCCTTTACTAACTCATTGACCTAGAAATTCTAAAGGGTGAGTGTTTGGATGTTTTTCTTTCACAATAAGACTGCATTTTTTTTTCATTTTAACTGCAAGTACTATAAAAAATTTCCAGGTAAAAATGGGGTGCTTCCCACCCCTTACTTTGCATCGACCTTAACTTTAAGTCGCGATTTTACAAACACACCGATGGACAGTCATCGTTCTTGTCGGATTGTTAAGTGATTGATGAAGGGGACGCTATGGTTTTTTTTTTTTTAATTGATCCTAAAGTTTGAGGATAAAAATAATTTGGCTTCGATGGGTTTAACAAAATAAATAATCAGATGCTTTTTTCACCAAATAAACAATGTTAAATTATGAAATTAGAAAAATTGTGCCTGAGAAAAAAAAACATTTGGCCCCTTCAAGTTCCATTGTCGGTCCCTAAGTTCGTTTCCCTCTGGATGCTTTACTCTATATAAAAAAGAAGATGTGGTATGATTGCCAATGAGACAACTCTCCACAAGAGACCAAATGACACAAAACTTAACAACTATATATCACCGAACGGCCTTCAACAATGAGCAAAGCCCATACCGCACAGTCAGCTATAAAAGGCCCCGAAATGACAATGTAAAACAATTCAAACGAGAAAACTAACGGCCTAATTTATGTACAAAAAATGAACGAAAAACAAATATGTAACACCTAAACAAACGACAACCACTGATTTACAGGCTCCTGACTTGGGACAGGCACATACATACAGAATGTGGCGGGGTTAAACATGTTAGCGGGATCCCAACCCTCCCCCTAACCTGGGACAGTGGTGTAACAGTACAACATAAGAACGAACTATAAAAATCTATGTTCGTTCTTTTTGTTCTTAGACTTAGATCTATCTACCCTTATTTGCTTAAAAATACTTTTGTTCGTAAAATTATAAATTACGGCTTAAAGGAAACTAGTATTTTGCAACATTCATATGTTAACTTTGTCCGTCTCTCTCTCTCTCTCTGTTTTTTTTTTCTTTCCTTTTTTTTTTTGGTGAAAACGACGTTGATGCACGTGCTATCGTGCCTCCGGGTAGCTACGCCCCCGGGCTGAAGATGATTGACGCCGGATATAGGGCATACAAATTAAACAAACAAAAAATAGACAAAAAAGACAAAAAAAATTTATAGAGAATTATGGGGTTCTAAAATATAAAGAATACAGACTGATGATCAAAAAAAAATAAAGAATAGAGAAAAATGTCCTACAGAATTTAGACGGATCAAGGGGGCATCCAGACCTTCTTTAGTTGCTATCTATCCCAAATAGAACTATAATATAGAATTGTACGTTTATTAAAAAATAAAACCCCTAAACATTATAAAAGTGATATCATTCAATATTCACTCTTATATTACCCACTATAGAACCTTTTCTTTGATTGAACCAGAGACATATATACACATATATGTCTCTGATTGAACTGTTTAATTAAGAGCAAGAGAAGTAGTGGAAACTCAAATAATCCAGTCGAGTTACTTAGAGAGCAGGCGCAAGCACCTGTTGTCATAAACTTCCGGCTAACGAAAAGTAAAAGACTGAGAGAGCAAACATTTATATTTAAAGTCTTTTCAGACCAGTTTATCCCGAAAAAAAATAATGTGACCTTACACGATAGAGTTGCCTTTTACGTTTTCTGCGGTTGATAACAGATTTAAAAATGGTAAGGACCTGATAAAGGAAAATAACGTTGAATTTACTTGTTTGTTTTCACAAAAATCTCATTTCCGGGATTTTTAATCTAATACATGAAACAATTATTGAAGAAGTTGACAAAGTCATGATCATGTTTATATTCATACTTTTTGTTAAATGTAATTTATAAATCGTGATAAGTTTATTAGACAACCTATTAACAGACTGAGACCACTCGCACAAAAAGGTTATATTATTACCCATTCCTGGTATACAAATACTGTACAATACTGGAATAAAATTTTGTTCCAGTATAATACTACACCAGTATTGTGGTTTAAAAAAAATTTATATCAGGTGGTAAAATATAAATAAATGAATTATGACTTGACGATTTTATCAGTTTTAAGCACAAAATACTAAAAGTAGTAACCATGACAATAATTAATGATATGAAAATGGATAATTTTTAGCACTCATACTCATATTTATGAATGATGTGACAAGTGTTGTTACACAAGTTTAAATGATGGTATATATACTATATAGAGCATACACACAATAAGAAACAATCATCAACCTAGTTTCCAAAATAACTAACAACATTAAGATATGACATACAAAATATCCAGTATAAAAAAAATCATAAGAATTTATTATTATAGTGTTATTAACTGGCTGTTTCTGTATTGGTATAGATTCAAGGTTTGCCGTATTGGCCTCGAGACCCGCTTTTTTCTGTATTGGCCCTGTTTTTTTCCGTATTGGCCTTGTTCAAAGAGCAATATTAAATCTTGATTTATATCGACAGTGGAACGTTTTTAGTATTGCACATGCTGATTTATCCGTATTAGGGCTTATTTGCTCATATTATTTAATAATAGTATTCAATGCATTAAAATGTTTTCTGTGTTATAAATTTTGTCCAGTTTGACAAATAGACAATACATACAGGTGTATTTCAATAGATTATTTTCATATTACCAACTTTTGTCTCCAGAGTTTATATTTTTTCGACAGGTTACCTTTTCTGTAGTAGGACATCCTGGTACTCGGTCAAGTAGGAGCAACATGAAGAAGTGAAATCATGCTTACAATCATTACAATTTTGGTGGGAAATTAATTGTTTTATGTTTTCTATGCAGGACAAAATTATCGGTAACAGTAAACTTTTCCCCCAAACTGCACTGATTATATGTTTAATTTTACTTTTTGGGCTGCTCTTACTTTTGTCCAAGTACCAGGATTTCCTACCATGGAGTAGGTAACCTGTCGAAAAATTACATAATCTGGAGTCAAAAGTCGATAATATGAAAAAAGTCTATTGGTGATGTTGGGTATGTCAACAATCCAACAACACAAAAGAAAACAACATCTTAAATATTTATTAATGAGAAATATTGTGTAACATTTCACTTTTATTTTTATTAGTCAAAGGTAAGAATGAATTCACATCTATAAGAAGCAGAGTCAAGTTTTTGTTATCTTGGGTACAAATCTGGTATTTATCTAATAAGTAAATAGATAGTGTTTACATTTGTGAATTTGAAAAGGAAATTTTAACAAGAAAGTTCAAATAGTATACAAATAACTTCCTTTTTCTCAGTTTTGAAATTTTCTGAAAATATTTATATTTATCTTTTCTAATTAGTAAATGAAATAATTTTATTGAAGAAAAAATGGTGTGCTTTTAAAAAAAGTTGGATTTTCATACAATATCTCAATGTTAAAAACTTTTAATATATAAATGTGTATTAAACAATAAGATGACAATACTTGACTTTCTGTTGAATGCATTGCAGTATTTTTATCTCACTAGACTGTTTCAAATAAGATCTTCCAAATGATATGTACTGGTAAACTTTTCTGTTTCAAATAAGATCTTCCAAATGATATGTACTGGTAAACTTTTCTGTTTCAAATAAGATCTTCCGAATGATATGTACTGGTAAACTTTTCTGTTTCAAATAAGGTCTTCCAAATGATATGTACATCTACTGGTAACAATGTCAATTGAATTAAATGAATGGATTACTTACTGTTTTCCATTTCATTTTTATTGTTCCATTCTTTTCTAGGAGGGGGATATAGTCTTCATGATGAATTTCTTAGTTTGTCCATTCAATTAAATGTGAGATCATATAAACACAAAGTTAACATATTAACATAAATATAAGGTTAATTTTTAGGAATGTTTCTTCGTAAATTGGAAACTACTTTGACATAAATAGTAAATGGCAAAAAGTGTTTAGTTTTGACTAGTATTTGTGAGTGGTGATGCAATGGCGTGCAAGACCCATAAAACATTCATCGTATAGGTGTTATCATATTAAACTGTGTGGTCAATGATAAAAGCTGGTAAATTAAATAGCTGTCCATTTGATTATTCATTTTATATTTGATTGTTGTAAAAATCTTTTGAATTAAAGAAAAACAAAATGGAGGCATTTTCACAAAAAACAATTAATTTGGCACATCTGTACATCTTACATGCAACTAATTACATTGTGATGTAATAAATAATGGGGTATTCATTTTTAGTTTTGAATTTAATGAACTTAGATACAAACATCATTAGGGAAATTTTAGTTACAAAAAATTTGATTAAATTTAGTCAAATGAGGATTTTTTTCACTCCTGTCTTTAAATTTATCCCGTCTGTCCTTAAACATTCATAATCAATGCTACAGCATGCACTTCCAGATTATTGCATGAATCACATTCTCATGATCTTACATAATCAGTCTTTTAAAAATGTATTTCCAGAAGGAATAAATTATACAATATTCTAAATCAAACATGTTGTGCATATTTGTGCAAGTAAATTTTTATTTTAGGTGAAGGTCACATAAGAACACTTTTTAACCAGCCTTTCCTACATATGCATAGTGTCATTATTAATGTCATCTTAGAAAATAAATAGATTTGATTTTCATCAGTGATTTTCACAATTTTTCTGCTTATGTAAATGATTCCTGTGCATACTCTTCATCTGGCAAGACTCAACAAATTTTAACTTATGAATATTAAAATAGTATATACATTTTTGTACTTTGAATTTTTTAAGTGGCATCTTGGCTTAGAAAATTAATTTGCTTCAAAACACCCTGCCTCAACTATGGCTTATGCTAAGGAATGTTCCTGAAAATGAATAAATATCAAAGATAAATAACCATTGGCTTTGAATTTTATATATTTACAATTTTGATCAAATCATGTTCACATCTACATCTACATTATAAGTTCTTAGATTCCTAATTCAAACTCATTTATACTGCTATTCCATCAGTTTATGAATGTTTTTTTCAGCCATACCATTGGCAGAGTCACAATGTCAAGACCAGTGGGGTCGATGACATGGTCCTGCTGCAGAAGATATCAGAACCGGCCATAGTTGAAAATTTGAAAAAGAGGTTTATGGAAGATGTCATCTACGTATCCTTTTCAGTTTTGAACAATAGAAACAAAAGAATGCTGATAATGCCACATTCAAGAAATAATTAGTTGTGGAAAGATTAATTTCCAATTTAGTGATGTAAATAATCATAGGGTCATGGAATTTGTATCTTATATGTTTTTGGTGGACACCAAAATGTCTTAAAAGAATAAGGTGTAATGCTGTAAATTTTATATTTTTCAATTCCAAAAAATTGATAAGAATATATATAGTTAAATGAAGTGTGATGACCCTTTAATTATTTTGAATAAGAAAATAATTGTTGCAAAGTTGTATGGGATTCTAATATGAAGTTCTTTTTTCGCTTTGGAAACAATTCTACATTTTTTTTTTGTAATATATGGGCTGGGCATGATAGATGTCACAATTGAAATTATAACGTTAGTTGTATTTTGAACAACGCTGGACGACAAAAATGGACATTTGTGTTGGTGTATCTCGCTAGGAAACTAAAAATCATTCTAAAAGTAAGTTTACATGTATCTGTTCATTTTTATACGCCCGTTTACGGGACGTATTATGGTATACCGTTGTCCGTCTGTCCGTCCGTCCGTCGTCAACATGTCGGACAATAACTCAAAAACGCTTTAACCAATTTGCATGAAACTTTAGTGAATTGTTTATATCTATTGACGTGAGCTCCCTTTCGTTTTTTATAAATTTTAGATTTTACGTTTCCGAGTTATGGGGTTTTATTCATTAAAAAAAAGGGGGATTTTCCAGTTTTCGGACAATAACTCGAGAATGCTATCACCAACTTGCAAGAAATTGTGGTGAATTGTTTATATCTATTGACTAGAGCTCCCTTTTGATTTTTATATATTTTAGATTTTACATTTCCGAGTTACAGGGTTTTATTCATAAGAAAAAGGGGGATTTTTCAGTTTTCAGACAAAAAATCAAAAATGCTTTCAGCAGTTCTTATGAAACTTTGGTGAATTGTTTATATCTATTGATGTAAGCTCCGTTTAGAATTTTATAAATTTTACATTTTACATTTCTGAGTTATGGGGTTTTATTCGTTAAAAAAGGGGGGATTTTCAAGTTTTTGGACAATAACTCAAAAATGCTGTCAGAAATTCTCATGAAACTTTAGTGAATTATTTATATCTATTGATGTAAGCTCCCTTTACATTTTCATAAATTTTTAATATGACATTGAGAATTAATTGAACTTTAATTGTTTATAGTCTGACAACAGATTTACTAAGTATTGCGCAACAGCACAGTGTATTGCACAACAGCAAAAAATCTTTAATTGATTCATATAACCAATTTCAAGTTCTTTGACTACATTTATTCAGAAACCTATAATATGATAAATATTTAATACAATCCAAATTCAGACCTGTATCAAGCTTGAATATTGTGTCCATTTTTGTCCCAACTGTTCAGGGTTGGACCTTTGCGGGCGTATCCAGCTGCGCTCAGCGAAGCAGTTTATTTATCATGAAACGGTTGATTTTTCTATATCATTTTGGCTGCATAAAATCATAATGACTGCCTTTCAAACGTGTATTATAGGCCCGCTTCGAAGTACAAAAGTCCTAAAGTTTCCTTTTAGAAACGAAATAATTCTATCATGCCATGCTCTATGATCATTTTAACATAGGTAGGCATTATATTTATCAACATTTTACACCTTGCTTACGCTCGATATAAAGATATTGACAAATATAATACCTACACATGTTCAAATGAGCATAGAGCATGGCATGAAAGAATTATTTCTTAAATCAAAAAAACAAAAAAGAAATAGTCAATTGTACCAGTTTGAAAGGTAAAATAGCACATCTTAAATAAGCAGAAAATGCAAGAGTTAATTCCCTTCAACACTTTTTATAGCTATATATGTAGTTATATTTTTTGCTTGCAACTTCTATTGTCAAGTTGTTGTCACATGTTGGATGGGTGACATTTTACATAGTGAAGCTACATTTTGTTTCGTGTAAATACACATACTATTAAGGTTTATCAGTATATGAATAAATTTAAAATATGATACACTAAAATTAGATTTATTGATAGACATACATGCACATAAATTCTCCATAGAAACATAAATACTTTTTATAGGTTATATTTACATGTTTTTATTACTTATTTGTCTCTTGTTTAGTAATACCCTTACAAGAGACTTGTAAGTCAACAATGTGTTAAGTCCTGTAACCTATGATAGATAGATGATGATTCACATAACAGGATGTCTGTATTTAAATTCAATTATCTATCATTTTTAGTAAAAACACTTGTAGCCCATTAAAAATATCATGTTTTTCAATCTTATTTTCATCTGATAGTAGTATATATTGTTATGAAGAAGATGACAGGCCCAAACAATAATTTACTAAAAAAAAATTTAGTGGACCAAAATAAGATCTAGAATATTGAAATTATTTATGTCTTTAGCATTTTACAACTGTTCATGGTGGAAATTGTGTTTTTCTTAAGATTAGCTTGTAAAATGTACAATGTTGAGGAATAAAATAAATAGTTTCCTTGTGAAAAAAATTACAAAAAATAATTTTGCATAGACCTTATAATGAGGAAATGAGTGTGATTAATGGTACATTAATTCTCATGACCTTAAATTTTGACCATGTTACAGTATTCATTACCAATGATTTTCCTAACTATGGATCCAAACCATTACCAGTATATGATACTTATTGATATATTTGGTTTATAAATGTGTTAAATTGAATCTTTTCTGCAAGATTATTGAAAAAAATCACTTCAGTTTAATATATAGATAAATCTAAAAATAGTCACAGGTAAACAGCAGTATACTTGGGATTGTCATCATATTTTTGAAATGTTGTCTAGACTAGGTGTTGGAAATTTCAAGTTCACTTTTGCTGCCTTTAAATGTGTGTATCATAGATCCCTTTGTTGGAAATTTCATAAACATTGGTGTCTTTACATTTGTTCGTATGGCTATGGATCCAAAGAGTGGCGGATCCAAGGGGTTCGGGGGTTAGAACTCACCCTTTTTAGCTCACCTGGCCCAAAGGGCCAAGTGAGCTTTTCTCATCACTTGGCGTCCGTCGTCCTGCATCCGTTGTCCGTAAACTTTTACAAAAATCTTCTCCTCTGAAACTACTGGGCCAAATTTGACCAAACTTGGCCACAATCATCATTGGGGTATTTAGTTTAAAAAATGTGTCCGGTGACCCGGCCAACCAACCAAGATGGCCGCCATGGCTAAAAATAGAACATAGGGGTAAAATGTAGATTTTGGCTTATATCTCTGAAACCAAAGCATTTAGAGCAAATCTGACATGGGGTAAAATTGTTTATCAGGTCAAGATCTATCTACCATGAAATTTTCAGATGAATCTGACAACCCGTTGTTGGGTTGCTGCCCCTGAATTGGTAATTTTAAGAAAATTTTGCCGTTTTTGGTTATTATCTTGAATATTATTATAGATAGAGATAAACTGTAGACGGCAATAATGTTCAGCAAAGTAAGATCTACAAATAAGTCAACTTGACCAAAATGGTCAGTTGACCCCTTAAGGAGTTATTGCCCTTTATAGTCAATTTTTAACAATTTTTCGTAAATTTTTGTAATCTTTTACAAAAATCTTCTCTGAAACTACCAAGACAAATTTAACCAAACTTGTCCTCAATCATCATTAGGGTATCTAGTTTAAAAAATGTGTCCGATGACCCCGCACGCGAACCAAGATGGTCGACATGGCTAAAAAATAGTACATAGGGTAAAATGCAGTTTTTGGCTCATATCTCTGAAACCAAAGCATTTAGAGTAAATCTGACAGGGATAAAATTGTTCATTAGGTCAAGATCTATCTGTCCTGAAATTTTCAGACCAATCAGGCAACACGTTGTTGGGTTGCTGCCCCTGAATTGGTAATTTTAAGAAAATTTTGCAGCTTTTGGTTATTATCTTGAATATTATTATAGATAGAGATAAACTGTAAACAGCAATAATGTACAGCAAAGTAAGATCTACAAATAAGTCAACATGACCAAAATTGTCAATTGACCCCTTAAGGAGTTATTGCCCTTTATATTAAATTTTTTACAATTTTCATAAATTTTGTGAATTTTTGTAAATTTTTACAAAATATTTTCCACTGTAACTACTGGGCCAAGTTCATTATAGATAGAGATAATTGTAAGCATCAAGAATGTTCAATAAAGTAAGATCTACAAACACATCACCATCACCAAAACACAATTTTGTCATGAATCCATCTGTGTCCTTTGTTTAATATGCACATAGACCAAGGTGAACGACACAGGCTCTTTTTTGACGATCAATGCTTTTGAATGGGGACATATGGTTGGAACCCGCCCTTTATCCTGGGTTGGAACCCCCTTTTAAAAATCGCTGGATCCGCCTCTGCAAAGTCTGTCTATAATAAAATAGAATAAATAAATTTAACTGTGACTATATGTCATGTAAAATATTGAAATTGTACTATTTCAGACTTCAATTCTATGGTGTATTTGGAATTCCCCTGTAAGCTGAAATCACAAGAAATAAGTTGTCAGCCTTTCTTGTGCCTTTATCTGCAGTGAATAAATATAAACTTAGATTAGATTATGACATTATATCTATTGTCATGTCTTCTTGAGGTCTTGATAAAATCACATTGTTCTCTTGTAGCTTCTTTAAGTTTTTTTTTGTTTTCATGTTGTATGTCTGTAATACAAGTGAAAACCCAAATTAACTTTGAAATATCTCACTTGTAGAGGGATACAAATGACCTACCAACCCCTCATATTCTAGTAAAATAACCCATTTCCAAATAAGAGTTGGTTTGAAATCAGGTAACACTCAATTATTAACTTACTCAATAATTGATTCCTAATTGACGAGGATTTTTATAGAGGTGGGGGGGGGGGGGACTTCCTAAATGTTAAAAAGGACTATGTTCAAAATACCCTTACCCTCCTTTTCCTGTAGAGGAATGGATGGCTATGTAATGGATTTCTCTTTGTAAGGAAAATAATTTGTGATAACTGTCGTTAGTTTCATGAGGTTTAAGCTTTAAGGAAGTAAAATGTTTTCTTTCCATAGTTTTAAAGTGCATTGTGTACTTGACAATAATAACTTGAAATATGCTTCAATTTACTTTCAATAGGTTTCTTAAATAGATAGCATGATTATGCAATTTGAAATTTGCATTGACAAACAACTCGTAAAAGGTGTTGCCAGAAGTTTTATACAAATGAGGAAATAATGAGATTTTAGTTTTAAATTCCTGTTTTCAATAATCATATTTTCCCATAATTGTTTTTCTATTTATGGGTATTGATTTTAAACAAAGATAGATCAAAAGAAGTATTGTTTATTAATCACAATGACTACATCATACTTGATCGTATAGCTATATGTGTTGAAAAATAAACAGTTTATCCAGATACAAAGTCTTGAAAAATTATATTAAAATAAAGGATAAAAAAATATGTGCGAACAAAGGTCCAAATTTAAAAGAAATGATGTTAATTATGAAAAGAAGCATCTGTCTAGATCTTTTAGGCCTTTGTTTTATGAGGAAATACACTGGGTTATAGAAATGAGTTCCTGTTTACAAAAATCATATAGTTCATTTAAATTTTTGAGTTTCTAAATATGGATATTGATTTAAACAGTGATGATATCCTCTGAAGCTTAACATTAAATAGTTTCTATGCACAATCAGTGCATTGTATATACATATATCATAGTACACTGTACATGTAATGGGTTTAAAAATGTTTATATTTTTCAAAGTATATATTAGATTAAAAGTATGTCTCAAATTTAAAAAAAAGAAAGAAAAAAATAAGAAGTCAAGTTGCGTCTAGTTATAAAGAAGTGTTAGCTATGAAAGGAATTAGTTTTCAGTATCATACAGGCTTTTGCAAATTGATATTTTAAATATCTAGCATCCACTTGAGGAATTTGAACATTTGAACATTTACATGAAACTATTTATTTACTAACAGACTATTTACAAATGAAGGTAAAGATTTATTACGATTTCCCAATAAGGTGACACCTTTATTGACATAGTTATAATCAGAGTGATTGCCCCTAGCACATTTTTCAGGTAATTGTACATGTAAACACATTAGTATATAATCCAAAACACTTATTATTTCATGAAGGTAAATATAGATATAAGGAAATGAACAATTCTCTGCACCTGTATGTTCTTAAAAACCTTGTCAAGTCAAGGTAAAGCAGTGCAGGATATAATGATATACATATCTGTATACTCATATTATTAATTTAATGTAGACAGGACATGTAGTATTACTTGCCATTTATCTCATCCATCAAGACTCAATTATTTATAACAGCTTTACAATAAAGTGAAATTGCAAAAGGGGATATAATAATTATAAAATTCTTTTTAGTACAAAATTGAAATTTTCCTAAAAATATTGAAATTGCAGAAGGTCAAATTTGAACAGTACTGTGTAACTATACGTAACAGTTCAAATCCTAACCAACTTGATAAAGATAAATTGTCATAAGAGGTGGCACTTATAAAGGCCATAATAAAAGAATTTTCATTTCAATAGTGGTCACCAGTTATAGATCAATCTTAAGGATAGGAGCAAATTTCTTGTAACAAATACCTGTATTTTGTTAGGCCAGTGTACTAGTATACTTAAATTTGATGGTCATCTGCTTTAAATAAAGCAGACATGATCACCATCAATGTTTATTATGGTTTGAAAGAGAGCAAAAAATTAAGTTTTAACAGATTTCAAAGCAATTCAGACTTAACTTTTTGTTCAGTTGACGGCGGGAGGTGGGAGACAAAAAATAGATGGGAGAGAAAAAAAGATTCTAAAAGTGGGAGGTGGGAGATAGGGGGCAGGAAGTGGGAGGAGGGGGCGGGAGAAGGGTACCCCCCTGTCCACCCCCTCGTCTCTGTGTTATCTGCAATGAAAAAAACAACAAACATCTACATGAATTTGCATTATTAGTAATGCTAAGTTTATACTTCTTCAACTGCGTAATTGATTTTGCATTCTTATTGTTTTGATTTGAGTGCCACTTAGGGAGCAACCATTTAACTTCAAGGGGGGTATGGTTTTTGTCTGAGTCAGAATATTTTTTTTGTCATCTGCTTGACCACAATATTTTTTTTCATCAAATTGGGGATCAGAATATTTTTTTAGGAAAAAACCATAACCCCCACCCTTGAAGTTAAATGTCGTTCCCTAACGAGTCTTTGTATGTAGATGAAACACCTTATTATACCCCACGCAACGAGTTGCAGAGGGTATAATGTTTTTGACCCGTCCGTCCATCCGTCCGTCTGTCCGTCAGTCCGTCAGTCCTGTTTCTTGTCATCGCAACTCCTCTCAAACCACACAACAGAATTTCACGAAACCTTTTTAGATAATAAGGACATACTATGTAGTTGTGCATATGGACAGGAAATTGTGATTCAATTTTTTTTTTAGGAGTTACGCCCCTTTGAACTTATTTACTTTAATGTACTACTGCAACAGTTTGTCATCGCAACTCCTCTGATACCACACAACAGAATTTCATGAAACCTTTTTAGATAATAAGGACATACTATGTAGATGTGCATATCGACAGGAAATTGCGATTCAATTTTTTTTTTAGGAGTTACGCCCCTTTGAACTTATTTACTTTAATGTACTACTGCAACAGTTTGTCATCGCAACTCCTCTGATACCACACAACAGAATTTCATGAAACCTTTTTAGATAATAAGGACATACTATGTAGATGTGCATATCGACAGGAAATTACGGTTCAATTTTTTTTCTAGGAGTTACGCCCCTTTGAACTTATTTGCTTCGATGTACTACTGCAACAGTTTGTCATCGCAACCTCTCTGATACCACACAACAGAATTTCATGAAACCTTTTTAGATAATAAGGACATACTATGTAGATGTGCATATCGACAGGAAATTACGGTTCAATTTTTTTTCTAGGAGTTACGCCCCTTTGAACTTATTTGCTTCAATGTACTACTGCAACAGTTTGTCATCACAACTCCTCTGATACCACACAACAGAATTTCATGAAACCTTTTTAGATAATTAGGACATACTATGTAGATGTGCATATCGACAGGAAATTATGGTTCAATTTTTTTTCAAGGAGTTACGCCCCTTTGAACTTATTTGCTTTAATGTACTACTGCAACAGTTTGTCATCGCAACTCCTCTGATACCACACAACAGAATTTCATGAAACCTTTTTAGATAATAAGGACATACTATGTAGATGTGCATATTGACAGGAAATTATGATTTTTTTTTTTTTTTCTTATACAATTTTTTTTATCTTACACATATTTTATTTCTCCAATGACAATGTGGGGACGTGGGGTATGTGAGCGCGCTCACTAAGGTTCTTTAATTGGCATTTTAAATTGTAAGCTTGGTATCTTCCATGGCTTTTTATATTACATTTATCATTTATCCTCATGATCACATTATCTTGATCCTAAGGAATGTTTTATGGACAATCTTAATCCTATAGCAGCAAGATATGTATAAACCTTAACCTAATACCAGACATATATAGGACCAGTATTAGTCTCCGTCAATCCATTCAAACATATCAACATATTTACAGATAGAGAAGTAGAGCTTTACCAAGGAGCGGTAAGTAACTTAGAACATGTAGTCAAAATAAGACATATGGAGAAAGTAATATAAGTGGATGCACATGAACTTAAATGCTTAATATATATATAGCGGAATAGAAGGGATGCTTTCATGGCTGTTCAACATCTCAATTAAAAATCTGCATTTTTAAGACTGTCCCTGAGCATTAAAAAAGTTTTGAGTTTTTAATTTCTCTTTGGTATCTTCCAACTCGTTTTCAATAGATATTAAAAATTATTCATTTTGGATTTTTTCCCCCATATTTGCAGAAGCCATGCATAAACAGTTGTGACATTGTGAATAAATATAGACATTGTATTATTAAACAATAAAACTAGTTCATATCATAGAAGAATTTGAATAGTATCCATGTTCATTATCATATATATGAATTTTTCAATTATATAATAATTGACCTTATATTCATTTACAGGGCTGATTAAACTATTATGTCATATGATATAAATAATGATTTATTGAAACAAATCACTTCAACTAATAAATTGTTAACTTCAATTGATCTAAACTTTAATCTTGTGTCAATATAAATTGATATCATATATGTTGAAGATTTTTTTAAATATTCTTTTAGTTTGTTGTCTAACTTGTCTAAATGGATGATTATCTTGATGCCTTTGTATTTGTTATTTATCATATTCAAGGGTCTATTTAAAATATAAACCATTCACCCATGACTAATTTAACAACGCATTCCATCATGGCAAAATCATGTACATGCAAATTGTCAATAATTTGACCAGTATTATTTTTGTAAAAACTACTAAAATTCTGTACAAAATTTCCCAGTTTATATAGTATTTAACTATTAGTAAATTAAAATTTCAATTTGAATCCCAGACAGAGTGACTCTCCAACTGAAGTCATATTTTTTTCACATTTTAATCAACAACAATGTATAGGTACATACATGTATTTTTATTTTATCCATGTTCATATATATCTTCTCTTAAGAGATAATCAACGACAGAGCAAAAGTATGTTGTCGACCTCTTAAACTACAAAATCAGTTAAAATATTTTATTTCCTGCAGTACACAATGTAACTTAAGTTTTTTACTTTGTAACGTAAAGTCTAGGAAGATTGCTTTTAACAAATAACAAAATTTTTTAAGAAAACAACCCTTGAGGCTTCAGCAGTTTGAAATACACTTATTAATAACCACCTCCATGATTTGGTGGAAGTGCGCTTACCCTGAGTATGAGAGATCATTGGCTCAGTCCCCTGCTGGTTCTATATTTAAAAAAAATCTCTACTTTAACAGGATATTTGCATCTTCTTTGCCAAGCATGTGGTACTTACAAGTAAGAATAAAGATTTTTCAGTTGCGAGTTATAATTTATCTAGACATGATGCTTATGGACTGATTAGCATGTTAAATTTCCATCTCAGTCTATTAGAAAACAGGGGTCATATTCCAATCAAAGTATGATATGTATATGGTTGAATAATTACTAATTAGTCTGAAACAATCATCCAAGTTTTTACAAATATCATGATCAGGTTTGTCTTAACTGTTCCAATGTGTAAGCTTGTTGCTTGAATGTAACGTAACAGAATATAATTTTACTATTTTTAATTATTGAAATTGATTTTTATAGGCTCAATATGAAAACCCACCACATGTGTATGCCTTGGCAGATAACATGTACAGAAACATGCTTATTGACATGGAAAACCAGTGTGTTATCATCAGGTAAGCTATGATACTTCAGGAAAACCAGTGTGTTATCATCAGGTAAGCTATGATACTTCAGGAAAACCAGTGTGTTATCATCAGGTAAGCTATGATACTTCAGGAAAACCAGTGTGTTATCATCAGGTTAGCTATGGTATTACATTAAAAACCAGTGTGTTATCATCAGGTAAGCTATGATACTTCAGGAAAACCAGTGTGTTATCATCAGGTAAGCTATGGTATTACATTAAAAACCAGGGTGTTATCATCAGGTAAGTTTGTACTACATGAAAAATCCGTATGTTATCATCAGGTAAGTTATAGTACTATGTATGCAATACTTATAGATTATCAATGGTTTTTCAAACGAGAAGGTGTTTCTCGGCTACAATCTCATCAAAGGGTGACAGTCCTGAGATGAGATGTAACTGAGAAACATCCTCCAATTTGAAAGACCATTGATAATCTGTTTATCGCTATGCCTGTGACATCGTTAATGTTTACAATTCTTTAATTTAGGACTCAGTTGATTAATCAGTGAAAGGTGTATATTAATACACTTGTCTATCCATCTGTCAGTCCATCATAAATAGGTTATGCACTCCTAGGAGTTTAGTGAAAAAATTTAGCATGCTTGTTGGTATTCACCATTACCAGAGGATGTGTTGTGTACACGGAAAAAAACTGGAAGACATAGTCAAAAACTTAGTTCAACTTAGCCACCCCTGTACATATGTACAAAAAATGTTTCTGCTCTTTTACTTTAAACCATCTTGGGAGTTCATGAAGCTTGGCATGATTATTCACCACTACTAGAAGGTGTCAGTGTCAGGACTTACTTACATACTACAGAACCCTATGTGATGGCTCCCATCACTAACCTCTTGTTAGCCCATAAAAACAACTTTTATATATGAATTCTAAAATAATTATTGTCTATTCTTCAGTGTTACATTAAAAGGGAAAATATATAATTACCGGTAAGTTTGAAAAGATACCATAAACAAAATAATTTAGTCCATAATATTCATTGTCTATTTTGATTAGAAGTTGATGAAATCAGTTATCTAGCTGCAATGTAAGTGAAGATTTTTCATTTATGAAATAAGTAGATGTGTTGGTTCATGTCTATCCTATAGTAAGATTTTGTATATACAGAAGTTTTACATGTGTCATACAAATAATTGTTCAGTGTTCATCAGCTTTTGTGTACTCAGAAATACATGTAATAATATGTTCAGTGTTAGTCAGATTTTATGTACACAGAAATTTTACATATATAACACATGTATTGAAATTCAGAAATTATTGCCAGGTTTTTATACGACCGCAAAAAAATTTTGTGGTCGTATATTGGTATGACGTTGGCGTCGTCGTCGTCGTCCGGCGTCGTCGTCCGAATACATGTTGGTTTTCGCACTCTAACTTTAGTTTAAGTGAATGGATCTTTTTGAAATTTGACCATAAGGTTAAATACCACAAAAGGAAGGTTGGGATTGATTTTGGGGGTTATGGTACCAACAGTTAAGGAATTAGGGGCCAAAAATGAGCATTTTCTAGTTTCCAGACAATAACTGTGGAACGGTGTATGGATCTCTCTGTAATTATACTACAAGTTTCCATACCACAAAGGGATGGTTAGGATTTGCTTTGGGGGGTTATGGCTCAAACCTTTTAGGAATTAGGGGCAAAAAAGGGGGAAAAACAAGGTTGTCCTGGTTAATGGACAAATACTTTAGTACAAAACATAATTTAAAGCAGTGTAAGGGAGATAAATCAAATACATCATTGAAATTATCTCCCTTACACTGCTTTTAAATTATGTATAAAGTAATGGTTAATGAACAATAAAGATAATCTAAAACAGTGTAAGGGAGGTAATCCAAATACAACGTTTTGGTTACTTCCCTTACACTGCTTTTAAATTATGTTTAAAGAAATGCATATTTATAAAGGAAGACCAGTAAAAATATCTGCAAATGTTTTCATCTTTTTTTTTTACAAAAAAATCCATATGAAAGATTTGACACTATATTTTTATTAATTCTATTATAAAATAGATTAAGTTAGCACTATGGTAAATTTAAATGGGTAATTATGGTTGCCAACTCCATTGGAAATTTGAATTGAGATTATGACCATATCTTGAGGGAAAGAATTTTTTGGGGGAAAAAAGGGGGGGGGGGGGGGATAAAAAGAAATTGTGGGGGGGCCAATTTTTTCTCATTTCAGATTTCAGAAATTAAAAAGAATTATTCTTCAAATATTTTTTTTTTTCAAATCTCAAATATTGAAAAATTTCAAGAAGTAATCTTTAATTGCACAGTATGGCGCATTAGATTTGTAAAATCTTTGATCACATTTATTTATTTGTTATGCCGAATCTAACAGTGTATTTAGATTTTTAATTTTGGGTCCAGTTTTCAAATTGGTCTACATTAATGTCCAAAGGGTCCAAAATTAAACTTTGTTTGATTTTAGCAAAAATTGAATATATGAGGTTCTTTGATATGCTGAATCTAAACATGTATTTAGATTTTTGATTTTTGGCCCAGTTTTCAAGTTGGTCCAAATTGGGGTCCAAAATTAAACTTTGTTTGATTTCAACAAAAATTGAATATATGGGGTTCTTTGATATGCTGAATCTAACCATGTATTTAGATTTTTTATTTGTGGACCCCGTTATCTAATTGGTTCATATTGAGGTCAAAAGGGTCCAAAATTAAACTTTGTTTGATTTCATCTAAAATTGAATTATTGGGGTTCTTTGATATTCCAAATCTAACCGTGTATTTAGGTTTTTAATTTTGGGTCCTGTTTTTTAAATTGGTCTACATTGAGGTCCAAAGGGTCCAAAATTAAACTTAGTTTGATTTTAACAAAAATTGAATTCTTGGGGTTCTTTGATTTGCTGAATCTAACCATGTGTTTAGATTTTTGATTATGGGCCCAGTTTTCAAGTTGGTCCAAGATAGGGTCCAGTATTTAAACTTTGTTTGATTTCAACAAAAATTGAATATATGGGGTTCTTTGATATGCTGAATCTAAACATGTATTTAGATTTTTGATTATGGGCCCAGTTTTCAAGTTGGTCCAAATTGGGGTCCAAAATTAAACTTTGTTTGATTTCAACAAAAATTGAATATATGAGGTTCTTTTATATGCTGAATCTAACCATGTATTTAGATTTTTTATTTGTAGGCCCCGCTATCAAATTGGTTCATATTGAGGTCAAAAGGGTCCAAAATTAAACTTTGTTTGATTTCATCGAAAATTGAATTATTGGGGTTCTTTGATATGCCAAATCTAACCGTGTTTTTAGATTTTTAATTTGGGTCACGTTTTTTAAATTGGTCTTCATTGAGGTCCAAAGGGTCCAAAATTAAACTTAGTTTGATTTTAACAAAAATTGAATTCTTGGGGTTCTTTGATATGCTGAATCTAAACATGTGTTTAGATTTTTGATTATGGGCCCAGTTTTCAAGTTGGTCCAAGTTGGGGTCCAAAATTAAACTTTTTTTGATTTCAACAAAAATTGAATATATGGGGTTCTTTGATATGCTGAATCTAACCATGAATTTAGATTTTTTATTTGTGGGCCCCGCTATCAAATTGGTTCATATTGAGGTCAAAAGGGTCCAAAATTAAACTTTGTTTGATTTCATAAAAAATTGAATTATTGGGGTTCTTTGATATTCCAAATCTAACCGTGTATTTAGATTTTTAATTTTAAGTCCCGTTTTTTAAATTGGTCTACATTAAGGTCCAAAGGGTCCAAAATTAAACTTAGTTTGATTTTAGCAAAAATTGAATTCTTGGGGTTCTTTGATATGCTGAATCTAAACATGTGTTTAGATTTTTGATTATGGGCCCAGTTTTCAAGTTTGTCCAAGTTGGGGTCCAAAATTAAACTTTGTTTGATTTTAACAAAAATTGAATATATGGGGTTCTTTGATATGCTGAATCTAACCATGTATTTTGATTTTGGACATTAGACCATAATAGGTAAATTAAAAAAATTCAAGTTCTTAGACCACATTCTTTCTGTGTCAGAAACCTATGCTGTGTCAAATATTTAATAACAATCCAAATTCAGAGCTGTATCAAGCTTGAATGTTGTGTCCATACTTGCCCCAACTGTTCAGGGTTCGACCTCTGCGGTCGTATCAAGCTGCGCCCCAGCGAAGCATTTTATTATTATTGCGAATAATGTGACTGGTTGAGTATCACAATAATAAGAAGTTGCGTTCTGATATCTGAGGCATATTTTTTTTTTGCAGATTTTCTTGAAATTGCAGTAAATCTTGCATTTTTGTCCATTCTTCAAAAATCGCAATGATAAATGTACACAATAATTTCTGAATTTACAATAATCATATGTTCAGTGTTCAGTGTTAGTCAGATACACAAAAGTATTATATATCTAACACATGCAAGCTTCCAGTTAATTCTCAGCTTATATGCATCACATGTTAGTGTATATTAAGTTTAAGGCTTACATAAAAGTATTACAATTTTGTATTCACAGAGATTTGTATGCCCCCGCCACAGCCGAGGGGGCATAAAGTGTTACCCTTGTCCATCTGTATGTTTGTCTGTACCTACGTACGTACGTACATCCCAAAATTGTTTTTGTTTTCTAACTTTAGTCTGCCTCAACAGAATATTATGAAACTCATACACAATGCTTATTACCACAAAACACAGACCAAGTACAAAATATTGCCTTACGGTAGTAAAGGATTAAAGGGGCATTAGCTGTCAAATTCGTGTTCACCGATTTGACTCAAATTCTCATATTTGATTTATAACATACTAAAACGTATATCGAAATTATAAAGAGCCCTTATGTGGGAAAAATTTGGTTGATTATATAGGGAATCACGGAGCACGACTGTAGCGGGCCCCCTCTTATGGCAGTCAGTGGGCCCCCCTTATAAAAAGTTCTGGATCCGCCACTGCGTTAGAAAATTATTTTGTGTCCAAGAATTTCTGGTATGTACAACAAAGGTAGACTCTTTCTGTGAAATATTGATGGCCCTGAAAATGGCCGTTTACGAGAGATATCCTTGGCACTAGATGAATTTCCAAGCCTTGTTTGATCTTGTTTCCTCATTACTTGATGGACTTCTTACCTGGCTGTGTCCATTTTGTTTACAGGTGTCAGTGACGTCATTTTTATGGGAGATGACTCATGCAAAAAACCAAAGGGCTGAAAAGGTTATTCACCGGTGAATAATACGGTTATTCATCGCTGAGTGTAAATTTTTAGGGTTAATCATCCATCCTTGCATTTAAATGATAATTAACTGAATTATTCCATGTTACATGATAATGTTTTAACCAATAGAACTGTCTATAATAACAAAACTAATTTATCCAAAAATAATATTGTTTAAATATCCCTCCTCAATATTTTTTATAATATGAAAATAACACTACATACATATTATCCTTCCGAAGCGTTTTTCTGGATTTACCTTCACCAGGAACGCTCAAAGTCAAAAATTTGAAAATCAAGGATGTATAAGTTTTTTATCACAAAAATAACATTTATAATGTCTATATTTATACTTTATATTTGTTTGTTACAGTGGTGAAAGTGCCTGCGTGGTGCAGGAAAGACAGTTGCTGCCAAGTTTATTATGGGTTTATTTCTGTAATCTGTAAGTTATATTTGTTTGTTACAGTGGAGAAAGTGGTGCAGGAAAGACTGTTGCTGCTAAGTTTATCATGGGTTTCATCACAAAAGTCTCAGGTGGAGGAACTAAAGTACAGGTTGGTGAAATAAACAGAAAACATGTTGTAAAATGTTCTGAAATTAGTAAATAAAAAGTCTTGACTATAGTAATGCATTTAACATTTTTAATACCTAAAAGAAAGTAATGCCATAAACCATACAGAAATTAGTAAATAAGAGTCAACTACAGCAATGCCATAAACCAGAAAACATGCTGTAAAATGTTCTGAAATTAGTTATTAAAAGTCTTAATTCCAGCAATACCGGTACCATAAACCAGAAAACATGCAAGTTTTGATTTTATATTTTGGAGTAAGTAAGTGAATGAATTATATTTTGAGTCACATGAACATGTATTTAAAATGCAGTTAGATAAACACACTTGTACAGACACTTAAAAACAAACTTGAGGAAACAATTGAGATGATAGTCAAGTTGTGATAGTCAAGTTGTATCGCTTTATGATAGATTAAAAACATATATAATTATTTGATAAGTGCGTAGACGTTATACATAAGTGTCATATTCAGTAGTCTAATTTAAGAGATTTATTCTGAACAGAATTAAGATACATGTAATATTATAAAAAAAATATTTTCACTAAGCAAATAATTAATTGGCATTTTTATCTTTTGGTATACAATGCATTTATATATTTATCAGATGGTTTGGGATAAGCATAGAAGTAATATTTAAAAGGAATAACAATGTCGTCACTTCAATGGTTTCATATGCGTTACCGCCCATCTTTCGATAACTCGTTAATTGGTTTAATATCTGGCATGGAAGTTGATTCTTCGCATGTGATCGATCAAATCACTGACACTTTTCGGTCATTTTTGAGTTCACAGAAAACTACGAACAGACAAGTTTTTGTCGTATATACGTGCAAAGTAACCGGATTAGTCCATTCGTTACATTCCGTTGATGTACGCTGATGAATAGAGTCATTCGTTCAATTTTTATTTTAGTCCAATTTTCCTATTTCTGGTTAGTTCGACCTTAATAGTACCGACAGCTATCACATATGAAATTGGAGAACAAGGCTGGGTCATTTTCAATTTTAATATTTACAGACAGTTAAAAAGCCATTTCCGTAAGTTAAGAAGATGATTGTACAAAAAATACGTTTGGACCCCCTTTTATTAAATACAAATAATCTAAGTCTTTCGTGTATTAGTCAATTAAAATATTTTACAATTCTAAACGGTTCTATCCTTTAATTTATAGTTCTTGATACATAAACTAATTCGTGTAAAAATGTATTTGCCGTAAGACAGATAGCGTCAAGCTCATTTTGTCGGTTTGTTTTAATTTTTGCTGTAGTTTGTTATATTCTACAATAAACACTTCTTTAAGAAATATATGTTTACGAACATATTATCCCTATTTTAGCTGTCCAGTTTCAATATTGTAATCAATGACATTTATGACATATACATAAATTTAGAATACTTCTCGATAAACTTTGCACATTTCAACAGTAAAAAAATCTATGTCTAGATTTGTCTACATTATTTTTTTAAACATCATGTGAAACCTGATCGATTCATCGGCATTTAACTGTTGTACTCGGGATCCGCTTTTAACCGGAAAATACTTTTAGAACAGTTTAAAACAAACGGTTAAAAGCAAAAATATGCTAAATTAAATACTATTTTCCATGCTAAACTGTTGTAGGTTGAACAATTCTCGTCCGTTTTTCAAGTTTTTTACATCATACGACTTCTTTCTGAAGGTAGAGGTTTTATATGATACAGCGCCACCTTCTTATTAATAATCCTTGGATTTCACACAGGTGCTTTATAATTACCGGACTCGATAAAATCATGTGACTGATTAGAAATTCAAGATGCCATTTTACAACCGTGGTATCACAGATAGTAACCAAAGGGGTCTTGCCGCTGAGACTATAATTGGATAAAATCATATGACTTTAGTACAGAGCTCTGCAGGCTGTTCATACATGCTTATTAGTCGTTGTTATTCCTTTTAAATATTACTTCCATGGGATAAGCAAGAAATTCTGAATATAGTGACAGAAGATAAATATTGGACATTCTAAATTATTTATAAATCATGTAATAAAAAACAACAGGCCCTGTATGACAGTATACTTCTATTATCGTTATTTTGCGTATTTTTCCTTTGGTCTTTTTTGTGATAATTTTTCATATCACGCTACTTGCTTGAGATAGAAAATTATCATCAGAAACTCTGGGAGCACATGACATTGTCAATGTAAACATCAACGACGTCATAGGCAAAATAGAGATAAACAGATTATCAATGGTCTTTCCAACTCTAGGAAATTTCTCAGCCACATCTCATCTCAGGGCTGTCGCCTTTCGATGAGATTGTAGCTGAGATACACCCTCTCGTTTGAAAAACCAACAATAATCTATAATTACATTTTTAAACAGATAAATTGAATGTAATTCACACGACATGTTGTATGCAACTAACATTAACTTATCAGATAAATGTTTTATTTAAATGTAGGCAATGGTGAGCTTTATATTAAACTTATATATCTTGATAGTAAAACTTTGTCTTACTTCTATATGATTAATTTATGAAATTTATTAAACTTTATCGTATATTTATATTGATTTTCTTACATTTGAATTATGTAGTCTTTGAAGGCTGTTTTTTTTTTAAAAAGTGGCAAATACAAGACTTGGTTTTACTGTTAACATTATTTGATTGGATAATATTTAAATGATTTATATTATGATTTGTCATACATATGCCAGTTTTTATCATAAGCTCACAGAAATATATGAACAAATGGAATATAGACAAAATTTAGCATGTACATGTACCATTATTTCTCTTTCTTTTAAAAATGGATAAATCTTATTAGATCTTAGGTATGATTCTGTTTTGAGTTGAAAAGACTTAATTTGTATTTTAAAGTCTTCCAGAAATGAAACGATCACTTATAGTCTGCATTAGAATACATACTTAAAAAATACAATGATATTTATCTGTCTGATCTTATCCACATCATAGTTGTATTTATTATATATCTGTGAAAATTAATTGATTTATGTAGTTAAATTCATTTCTGTTACTTTTATCCAACGCACATGGTGAGGCACCATGAATCTCAACAATAGAAAAAAAATTATCAAGATTCAGTTGTCTTTGAATATCTCTCTCAGAACTCCAAATGAGAGATCTTACTGATTAGTGTATCATCCACCCAAGGGTTAAGATTTCCCTTTCTCTCTGAAAAGTGTTGTCAAAGATAGTCTTAATCTTATGTGTCTAAGATTTCTGGGTCTTTTGCAGTGTTTAGAGTAAGACATATTCATATCTTCAATTCATGACAGTGGATGCTCTTTATTTGTTTTGTTTAAAAAACATGATTTGAAATTATGCACATATCTCTCTGAATCTTTACAATAGGGTATTCAATCCCTTTGATTTACTTTTATGCTTTGTAATTCAAAATTTCAAATTCTTAAATTATTCTGTATAATAATAAATTGATATGTATGCATAATTTTTATTTGTATTGTATCATAGCAATGTTTACATTGTAGAAAATAAAAGACGTCATTTTAGAATCAAATCCACTCTTGGAAGCCTTTGGAAATGCCAAAACTGTTAGAAACAATAATTCTAGTCGATTTGTAAGTATCACATAGGCATCATAATGTTTTAATCAGATTCTGTGTAAAATTTAATTCCATTTTATAATTATCAATTTTTAGCTCACCTGGCCTATAGGGCCAGTGTTAGGTTTTACCATCACTTGGCGTTCATTGTATTGTCAACGTCAGTTGTCTGTCATTGTCAGTCAACTGTCATCGTCCGTTTATGTCATCCTCCCATAACTTTTACCAAAATCTTCTCTGAAACTACTGGGCCAGTTGTAACCAAACTTGGTCACAATCTTTCTTGGGATTTCTATTTAAATGTTGTGTCAGGTGGTCCTGCCTACCAAGACTAAAATAGAACATAGGGGTAAAACACAATTTTTTCCTTTATCTCGTAAACTGTTAAAGATAAATAAAATCTCAGGAGCTAAATTATGAATATCTGCCAACTGTCTTTTTAGTCAATATTGTTAGATGACTCTTTTTAAGAGTTTTTACGCTGAAATGACATTTTTTTTCCTTTGGGGGGAGTTTGCCTATCATCTTATGTTAAAAATTATCTCCCCTGTCATCTTATGTTAAAAATTATCTCCCCTGTCATCTTATGTTAAAAATTATCTCCCCTGAAAGTGTACTGACTGCACTTAAGTTGGGTTTTATTCCTATGAAACTAACATTGTTTGTAATTCAAATTAAGGTGTTTGATCATATTATAAAAATATATTTAATAAATGAATATTTATTCTGCAGGGCAAATATGTAGAAATGCAGTTCAGTAGAGGTGGCGAGCCTGATGGTGGTAAAATTTCAAACTTTCTTTTAGAAAAGGTAGGTGTTATCAATATATTGTTATGAAATCATTATTTAGTTGTTTAACTAACTTGGCTGCATGCAGGTCATTTATTGGGCTGAAAGTTTGAAGATCTCTAAGACTACAACACATACAACATAGCCAATGAAACTGAAACACAAATGATAGGGCTTAAATTAAACAGTGTGTTACATTAAACTTTTACTGGTTGGGAAAGAAGTGAATTGTAACATAAGCAAAAACTGGATTGTATTGTATATTTTGTGATTCTGCTTTTTGCCAGTTTTGATGCAATAACAATAACAGTACCAGTTTTACTGTACCAGATGCACATTTCGACAATTAATGTCTCTTCCGTAATGCACAAGGCCAAAATATTTAAAAATAAAAAAAAAATTGATTTTCAAATTTGTAATATACAATCAATTACAAATAAGCATCTAAGAGCCTCACATTGTTTATGTATATTTGTTCCTCATAACAGAAAATCTACTGGAAATTTTGTTTGAAACAATTCTATGATATTGTTTCCTGTGGGAACAAATATTTTACACCCTTGGTTATGTCAGGGTGTTCCAGTGGAAATAAAATCCAGAATATTTCTACCATTCCGATCTAAAAATAAAAAGGATCTTCTTTACAATGAAATTTTAGCCACTGGATGTTAAGCAACCAACAACCAATCAATCAATTTTTTCAATGAGATCATATGGTTTATGACATCATATGGTTTATTTCATTCACCTTGTGGTTATTTAGGATAAACTTACTTCAAAAAAAATCTTGTCACTATTCTTTTTTTATAAGCTTCTAAAAATACAATTTAACATATATACATCTTATTTCAATAAATGCAAATATCTTATGCCTCATATCAAATTGAAGAGTGTCTGTTTAACAAACATTAATATGTATTATGAGATCTTATGCCTCATATCAACTGGAAGAGTCTTGTTTAACAAACTTTAACTTTCACTTTCAGTCAAGAGTTGTTAGTCAGAATTCAAATGAAAGAAACTTCCATATATTTTATCAATTGTTATTTGGTGCAGATGATCAAACAAAACGTAAGTAATTGCCTGATATTTTTATGGCTGTTGGATTTTTTGGGTGGTCATATGGCTGGAGTTATTTATACTATATACTGTGGATTTATTTTTTGGGGTGGGGAGGGGGGGTATCAGTTTTTGTGGATTGAGAAAAAGAATTGAATTTTTGTGGAAACTTGATTTTACAATTGTAACAAAATTTTGCTTGTCAACCTATAAGACATTAGTATTTTGTTGACACTTATGACTTAAGCATATTTGGTTCATTTGTTCCAATGAAGTCAAAGACAATTAGTTCTCAAGCAGTAATAATGAATGTACGAGATGTATTGTTGTATGTTTTTAGAAAAAAAATGCATAAGTATCTATAACAGTGCAATCTGTTAATGAGTTGATAGTTCAGCTGTAATAATTTAGGTAGAGATTTTTTTATAATCATGAATTTTGTATTCAAACGTTGTAAGATATATAAAAAAGCTTGTTTGATGTTCAATAGAAGAAAAGTTTTTATCATCAACAAAGTTTGTATCATCAGCCTACAAATTGCAAAAATGGCATGTGTTTTGACTTTATGATTTACAAATGAAATCTGATTAAACTATTACCTATATTTTTCAGAGAATCTTGGTTTAACAACCCCAGATTATTACAACTATTTAAATCAGACTGGTACTTATAAAGTGGATGGTACAGACGATGTCCAAGAATTCAAAGACACTATGGTATGATTAAATGAGCTCAATACATCCTTCCATACCTTTACAGTGTTTTGTGTTGATTCCTTCAATAATGAAGGTGTGTCTTCAATAGGGATATTGTTTTTTGTCTAAATAGCTTTGAAACTTTGAACAACTATTGTTTGAGCTGCTTGCTTTTGTCAGTTGCTAAAATAACAAAATGACAGGGTCCCCTTAGATCAGATTAAAATAGTAACTATCAGTTTCTTGGCAAAGGTTTTTATCTCTGGCCACTTGCCAAATAATGAGAGAAATTCCATGTTGCGGAACAAGTTTGTCACTTATTTATTAGTAAATGCAGTATTTAAATGATTTTGAAACGACAAATTCTAATATTGAAAAATGTTTAGAGAAAAAAAAAAAAAAACAGAAAATTTATAACACATTGACTAAACTTCCATTTCAATGTACGGTAAACAGTTATTAATCAAATCGGTATTTTTATTTCAGAATGCCATGAGAGTTGTTGGCATACCTCATGAAACTCATGACGAAATCCAGTCTCTGATAGCATCTGTTCTCCACATAGGAAACATACAGTTTGCGGAAGATGGAAATTATGCAAAAGTTCATAACAGTGACTGTAAGTTGTACATTGCACTGAATACCTTAAATTTGGAAACAATTGAAGGGATGACACCCTGTCTATATAGCTCTTGAAAACGGATAAATTTATTCACATTGCATCATTGCAATCCTTAATAAAAGGCTATAATTTCTTTCACGGAATTCATGGTAACTAGATGGTAAATTAAGCGGTACAATGTATCGAGCAGTGAAATTCTATTGCATATAATTGTTAAACCTTTAACAGAATCTTTTACAATTTTACAGTATGACTATAGCAGTCACATATAAAACAAACTTTAATTAAATTAAATTATACGTCACTCATTTTTTTATAGCTTATGTGTTAATTGAGACAATGTAGTGATTTGACTTATATAAAAAAAAATTAGGTGCAATATTCCGTGCAATATATTATGATTATCTCCTAATAAGCTTTATATATATACTATTTTATACGATTTTGTAGTTTTAGAATATCCAGCATATCTATTAGGAATTGATCAAGAATTTCTAAATAAGAAAATCACTAGTCGAACAATGGACAGTAAATGGGGAGGAAAGTCGGAAAAGACAGAGGTTACATTTAATGTGGAGCAAGCAGAATTTGCTAGGGATGCTCTGTCAAAAGCTTTATATTCCAGATTATTTGACTATTTGGTGGATGTAAGTAGCTGTATTTGGCAAAACTTTTCGGAATTTGGTGTCCTCAATTTATTTATTTATTCAGAAATGCACATTTAATGCTCTTCAACTTCGTACTTTATTTGGCCTTTTTACTTTTTTGGGTTGACTGTCACTGATGAGTCTTTTGTAGACAAAACTGGCGTCTGGTGTACAAAATTTTAAAATTGGTATTTATGATGAGTTTATTGCTGACAACTATTTATGAATTCTTACAAATTTGATATAACTAGATTTAAAAAAAGTCTTAGGATATTGATGATGCCAAAATGAAAATATTTATCAGAAAAAACTGAACTGTCAGCATTAAGCACTTTTTGCATATTTGAAATATTGTGAGTTGTAGTAAATTATATGAAAATAGAGAAAAGGTCTATACATCAATGAGATAGCAACTAAATGAGACAAAAATGGTATTTGAGAATTTTTTTCTTCTGATGCTAAAATTTATTGAAAATTTTAAAGATATTGTGGTAATCTTGCAATGCTAAGGTACTCTATGGCTGAATGGTCAAGGTAAGTAATTATCGGCAATCTTTGATCCTACTGCCTAATATTTGTTAAGATCATGGACAGGACCTGGCACAGGACCTGATACTCGAAAATATTAGGAAATGATGTAAAGTATGAGTTTAGCATCATCAAGCAGTCATGTCCATCCTCATCAATTTATCAGTAAAATGCATTGCAACTACATTCATACAACCAAAAAACTATCACAACTTTTTGTACTCGTAAAAATAGTTTTACTAATTATTTTATTTTATTTTATATTCTCAACCAAAAAAAAAAACATATTGTTAAGACAAATTGCTGATTAAAAAAATAATGACATTTTATTGTTGATACTGACTTTATCAGCGGGCTCGCTTGTTATTCTTGCTGATAAAGTCAGTATCAAAATCAAAAATCCAGTTATTCTATATATTTCATAGCATTGGTTTTTTTTTAGTGCACACACCTTATGTTCATGGGATTAAGAATTAGTCAAGTTATTTCAAATACAAGTTGCTCTCAATTTATAAATATATGATTGGTAGTTTACCATTCAGTATTTGCCTCAAACAAGAAGATTGAATTTCACATTTTGCAACAATAAACAAGCAGTACAGAAATGCCGGGAAATTATTTTATTAAAATGAAATGATTTGATATGTAAATTAATTCTTTCATTTATAGTCTGTGAATCGTGCTATGATCAAAGACCATGATGAAATCAATATAGGAATCTTAGACATTTATGGTTTTGAAATATTTCAAAATAACGGATTTGAACAGTTTTGTATCAACTATGTGAATGAAAAACTACAGCAGATTTTTATAGAGTTGACTTTAAAGGCAGAGCAGGTAAATAAAATTACTTTATAATGAACCAGCTGAAGCCCACCTCCGGGTGCAGGATTTTCTCGCTGTGTTAAAGACCCATGGGTGACCTTGGGCTGTTTTGTGCTCTTTGGTTGGGTTGTTGTCTCTTTGACACATTCCCCGTTTCCATCCTAAATTTTATTTATAACCTTTGTTTGAGTTTGTGTGTTGCCTCGAAAAAGTTGCTGACCCAAGAATTAAGCATGCGGTTTCTGTTGGCAGTGTCTGTTGTGAAAAAAATTGTTAAAGTTTGTGATTAGGTCTGTTTATGAGGAATCACCAATGGTAAGTCATTAAAGTTTGTGATTAGGTCTGTTTATGAGGAATCACCAATGGTAAGTCAATGGTATTTTGCATGCAGTTTTACTAGCATTGGCACTGGATAATATTTGGCCTTGCCCCTTCAGTCATGTTCCATCAACTATTAAACTTAGGCATAGTGTGCACATGCACACAGGTATGTATGCAAGCATAATAGTTTTGTCATTATTTGCTCAAAAACCTTTTAAATTTAATTGTGTCTTGATATTATTTGGACAAACAAAATCATTTATTGATAAAATAATTAGTTACAAACCATTCAAACATGAAAGACAACTTAAAAAAAACAGATCAATGTCTGGTACTTGTTTACCAGTCAGGTGTACAGGTAAATCACAACTTCAAATTAGCCTGGTGTTAGGGAAAACTCAAAAAAGTCTGTCTACACTTTGATTTGTTAAGCTTAATCATATGAAATATTCTGCAGATGTTAAGAATTAGGCATATACTGAATATAAATTGTCTTATATTTTTCTTTCAGGAAGAATATGTCCAGGAAGGTATAAAATGGACACCTATAGATTACTTTAATAATAAAATTGTCTGTGATCTCATTGAATCAAAGAAAAATCCTACGGGTATCATGTGTATATTGGACGATGTGTGTGCAACCATGCATGCAGTATCCACCGGTGCTGATCAAACATTACTGCAGGTTTGTTTTATGTGTATATTGGACAGTGTATGTGCAGTCATGCATGATGTGTTTGTAAGATGAGGCTCAGGTTTACTTCATATGTAGGTTATGTTTATGAAACACCATACATATTGAGGTCCTGGTCAAACACAATAGGTCTGTATTTTGTGTATATTTGACAATGTGTGCAACTACATAAAAATGAGAAGATGCGGTATGGTTGCCAATGAGACAGCTCTCCACCAGAGTTCAAATTATGTGGATATAAACAATTATAGGTCATTGTATGGACTTCAACAATAAAAGAACCTCATACTGTAGAGTTTGCTCTAAAAGGCCCAGAATTGAAAAATGTGGAACAATTCAAACGTTCAAACTAACGGTCTAATTTATAACAATACAATTTACAAAAAAACAAATATTACAGACATGAATTAATGACAACCACTGAATAACAAGCACCTGACCTTGGACAGGCACATACAGAATGTGACGACGGGGGGTAAACATGTTTGCAAATGCAAAATAAAAATACTATTACTATTAATTGATCATAAAACTAACAATTTCTAATAAGATTTATATTTTAGATAATGGTTAAAATTCTCAATACACAAAATTTAATAAAGGACCATTAGAATATTTTTGTGAAGTGAATTTTTTCTTTAAGAAGATTTTTGGAATTCAATATAATAACTTAACATCTGATCTAGGAATGCAATTTTGTGAAATTAATTTTGTTTACGATAAAATTTGTATTTATTGTAGAAATTAAGTGCAGGAATAGGAGTTCATGACCACTACCAAGGAATTAGTGTTGGTTTTGTTATTCATCATTATGCTGGCAAGGTAGGCCATCAAATCCACACTTTATTTAGCATTGTTACCATCGTTAAAATATTTTGATAATATGTTCGTATAAACATGGAATTTATAAAAAATTTATTCTGTGTCTCATATACAATACATGTGTAATTTCACAGCTTTCTGATATTGAAAAATTTGACAAGCACCAGCTGTTAAAATTAAATATGTAACTGCCAGTCAGTCAAGATGTGGTTAAACATCATTGGCCTCCATAAATATATCTCTGGGGTTGATAAACCATTTTACCAACCTCATCAAAAGTTGGCATCCATGAATATCATATCCCTGGGGTTGATAATTATAGGTTTCATATTGAGTGAGAATTGGATATCGTTTGATATCAACTCTTGTTATTTGATATTAAAAATAATAATTAAAGAGCCTTTTGGGAGTTTATTATTATTATTTAAATTAAATAACGAGCATTGTTATCAAGCGATATCCAATTCTTACGAGTTGTTTAACCTATTTCTCTTATGGTCAACACACTCATTGTGTTAAATTCAAAATTCTGTGAATCTTTGATTTAGTCTTTTGCACATACATATCAGTATGATGTCATATATCCTGTTCTGGCATCAAACTTTAATATTAGACATTTTACAACTTTTTGAATGGAATAAAATTTGACAAAAAGAACATTTTTAGGTGAAAAGGATTAGTGTTTTGTATGTCATTGAGGAAATCACATATGTTTGTTGCCATGGACAAAATGTACATCGTCTGAACCTTTGAAAGTCATTAATAACCTAACAAATAGCGAATGGAATTATTGTCATATCGTCTCATGACTTGTTGCTGGATAAACCAATCAAATTAACACAGTATTTGTATCACTATTTCGTATCAAATTCTAATACAAGAAATATCTCTTCATGCAAGAAATAGATAACAGGCCACAACCATAAGAAAAATAATTTTTTCAACCTCATTGAAGGTCAATAATTGTATATTGTACAAAAATTATTTTTGCTATTGTTCATTGTTTTAAAATGGAAAAATGCTTTAAATAACCAATTTTAAATGATTTTATAAACATCTTATATTTCTGACTGGATAAGACCGAGATCAAATTATTATGTTTAGATTTTTATACGACCGCAAAAAATTTTTGCGGTCATATATTGGTATGACGTTGGCGTCGTCGTCGTCGTCGTCGTCGTCGTCTGGCGTCGTCCGGCGTCGTCCGAAGACACATTGGTTTTCGCACTCTAACTTTAGTTTAAGTGAATGGATCTCTATGAAATTTTACCATAAGGTACAATACCACAAAAGGAAGGTTGGGATTGATTTTGGGGGTTATGGTACCAACAGTTAAGGAATTAGGGGCCATAAAGGGGCCAAAAATAAGCATTTTTGTAACTTCCAGACATGACTTGTGTGTTAGTGTATGGATCTCTCTGACATTGTACCACAAGGTTCCATATCACACAGGGAATGCTGGGATTAATTTTGGGGGTAATTGCCTCAAAATATTAGGAATTAGGGGCCAAAAAAGGGGCAAAAAACAAGCATTTTTTTAGTTTCATGACAATAACTTGTGTGCAAGTGTATGGATCTTTCTGAAATTGTACTACAAGGTTCCATATCACAAAGGGAAAGCTGGAATTGAGTTTTGGGGGTAATTGCCCAAAACGTTTAGGAATAAGGGGCCAAAAAGGGGCCAAAAATAAGCATGTTTCTAGTTTCCAGACAATAACTTGTGTTCAGGTGTATGGATCTCTCTGAAATTGTACCACAAGGTTCCATATCACACAGGAAATGCTGGGATTGATTTTGGGGGTAATTGCCTCAAAATATTAGGAATTAGGGGCCCAAAAAGGGGCAAAAAACAAGCATTTTTCTAGTTTCAAGATAATAACTTGTGTGCAAGTGTATGGATCTTTCTGAAATTGTACTACAAGGTTCCATATCACAAAGGGAAAGCTGGAATTGAGTTTGGGGGTAATTGCCCAAAACGTTTAGGAATAAGGGGCCAAAAAGGGGCCAAAAATAAGCATTTTTCTAGTTTCCAGACAATAACTTGTGTTCAAGTGTATGGATCTCTCTGAAATTGTACTGCAAGGTACCATACCACAAAGGGAAGGCTGGGATTGAGTTTGGGGGTGATAAATCATAAGGGGGTTCAAAAAATTTGGGGGGGGGGGATTTTTTTTTTTTCTTTTTTTCCTTTTTTTTTTCTTTTAAAATTTTCCATTTTAAGTTGGTTATTTCTGTTTTATATTTAAAAGCAAATAATAATGATATGGTAGGAGATACACACCAAACAGGATGTGTAAATTATTATAAAATAAGTATTGTTCAATAGCAAGAAATTTTCAATTGCACAGTATTGCACAATTATTAAGTTTATGGGCCCAGATTTCAAGTTGGTCCAAATTGGGGTCCAAAATAAAACTTTGTTTGATTTCAACAAAAATTGAATATATGGGGTTCTTTGATATGCTGAATCTAACCATGTATTTAGATTTTTGATTTTTGAGCCCCATTATCAACTTTGTCCAAATTGAGGTCAAAAGGGTCCAAAATTAAACTTTGTTTGATTTCATCAAAAATTGAATTCTTGGGGTTCTTTGATATGCTGAATCTAACCATGTATTTAGATTTTGGATATTGGACCATAATAGTTGAATGTCCAATTTAAAATTTTTAAGTTCTAAGACCACATTCATTCTGTGTCAGAAACCTATGCTGTGTCAAATATTTAATCACAATCCAAATTTAGAGCTGTATCAAGCTTGAATGTTGTGTCCATACTTGCCCCAACTGTTCAGGGTTCGACCTCTGCGGTTGTATCAAGCTGCGCCCTGCGGAGCATTTTATTTTCTGTGTAATAGGTCTTTGAACTCTTAGACAAAATCATTGAATTAGAATATTGAGTATAATCCCTTATTTTAATCTGTTTGAAGTTAGTATTTTTTTTTACTTGTTCTTTCATTTGAATGAAAATATTTTATAGGTAACATATGAGGCAGATGGTTTTTGTGAGAGAAACAGAGATGTATTATTCAATGATATAATACAGCTAATGCAATCTAGCCAGTCGTAAGTTTTTGTTACTTTAAAGTTGTTTTGTTTGAAATTCAGTTTATTCTCGACTAAATAACAAATCATTGCAGCATATGTTTTTTGCTTCATTAGATTTTCATGATTGCAGTTTCAGAATGTGCAAGATGAATTTAACCAGTATTTTATGTAGTATTTTAAAAGGTCATGTTTTTTTTTTTAATAAGGTCAATTTTTGTGCATTTAACTCATCAGAAAAATGATAATTAACATCTTTCAGCTATTAACACATATTTCCTTTTTTCTTAAAACATTTATGAAATTGTTCAATTTAAGCAAACATTATTAATATCATTTCTAAATGGATAATTAAATACAGTTGTTTGTTAGTCAATAAAAGAAAACCATTTTATATATGTGAATAGGAATTGATGTCAACAACAAAACAATTTAAACAAAATATTTGCAACTTTTATTTTACTTACTAGGCATTGGTTCTGTGAAAAACTTCAATTAGGAATTGATGGCTTAATAAAAATGTGTCTCTGTGTCATGATATCTTCATATTAATAAAACTTGGTAATTATCTTAAGATCACTGATAGCAAACTATATTTATATTGTACAAATGATATGAACTAAACACAGGGATCTTCTAAATGCTTCATTTCTATTTTGAAAACAAAAAAAGGCTATTTTATTCTTGATTTCTTTTTTTTTTAATGACATTTGTACTTGAATGAATTGGTGGTGTAATTTCTTGTTTATAAACAGAATAATAAATTATCAACTTCATAAATTTTAGCTAAAACGACTTTATATGTTTTCAGAGACTTTTTAAGATCTTTATTCCCTGAAGATGTTTCAGGACAGACCAAAGGAAGACCATCAACAGCATCAGTAAAAATCAAAGTAAGTATTGTTAACTTCCCGCCACACTAAGACTTTTGTCTTAACTATTGTTCTAATAGATCTGTTAATGATAAGTAAACAATGACAATTGGTTAAAAAAATTATCTTCAAATCAAAACAGTAGAATTTCTGGGTCTGGAGGTCTATTTAATCGATGTAACACTGCTTGTGTTGATATAATTTTAACTACTGTAAATTCAGAAATTATTGCGTTCATTTATTATTGCGATTTTAGAAGAATGAACAAAAAATGAGAGTTCTATTATTATGATTTTAGGAAAAGCTAAATACAGATATATGCACCAGATATCAGAATGCGAGTTCTTATTATTATGATACTCAAGGATTAACTCAGGTTATTCACATTGATAAAAGCCTTTAATACAATAATTTCTGAATTTACAGTAATATATTTCTCATCACTGTAATGTCTTCGTCTTTTGAAATAAAAAGCTATGAAGAATATTAGAAGAGTATCAATTATTCCAATTTAGGGCCCTTGAAGTGTAACATGATATTCACATTAACAAATACTACACTATGATTTGATAGCGTAGTTACTAAATGAAATTAAATATATAGGGGTGTGAAAGTGTGTGAGTGTGTGTTTTTTAACCCGATTTTCAAAGTAAAAATCGGTTATTGATTTGGCAATGTATGGCGGGCAGGCGGACAGGTGGGCGGCTGCCAAACAGTGTCCGTTCATTTACATGAAAAACGCTTTGAAGAAATTTTTTCAAATTTAGATATGTTGTTTTCTGTGACTAAATGAAGGTCAGGTTCAATTTTCACGATTTTAGCTTTTCTCTTTAGTCAGTTATAGCCCTTTTCCAAGAATTCAATTTTTGATGAATTAATTCATTTCTGTACGAAGGGAAATAACTCATTTTTAAAAAAACATTGTATTAAAGATAAATTACATTTTGGATTTTTTTTTTCTTTTCTTTGGTAAATTGTTTGAACAATTTTGTGGTAGGTTTGTTTGTTATTCTGTATAAACTAATTGTCGGAGTGTGTGTTAATTTTAATTTTTACTTGATCCTGTTCCAGATTTGCAAATTCATTAGATAATAATCTATTTGTATTAAAGGATATATTTCATTACATTATTTTGTGTAGATAAAGTTGTAGAATTTCATAGATAAGTTGCAGATCTTTATTAGTTTGTTACAAATGAAAGAAAAAATATTGGGAACTATATATATATATATATATATAAAGTTTGATTACACTAAGTGTTTTTAAATGATTTTCACCTTTTATCAAGATAACACACCGTCTGGTAATTGTCAATCACCCAATTATAATTGTAGTGACAGATTTATTTGAAAACTATTAATAATATTAGATTATAATTTGAAAATAGATATAACATCATATCTAATTACATCATATCTAATTTTAGAGAACTATAGTTAAATCATATCAATTTTAGATTTACATTATTGGTTCATGGAAATAAAGTTATTTCCCTTTGAACAGAAATGGTTTAACTAAGAAGTATTTCATCAAAATTGAATTCTTGGGGTTCCTTGATATGCTGATTCTAGCAATGTACATAGAATTTGGATATTGGACCATAATAGGTAAATGTCCAATTTCAAATTTTTCAGTTCTTTGACCACATTTATTTTGTGTCACAAACCTATGCTGTATCAAATATTCAATCACAATCCAAATTCAGAGCTGTTTTAAGTTTAAATGTTGTTTCCATACTTGCTCAACTGTTCAGGGTTCGACCCCTGCAGGAAAATCCGGTTTGCTGTCTCTCTGACAGCCTCTTGTTTTTTTTTAATTTATTCAATAGCAGACAAAACAACCTTTTCAATATTACTATGTATTCATTGTATGCTATTGCAGACTCAGGCAAACAAACTTGTGGACACACTAATGAAGAGTACACCACATTACATTCGATGTATTAAACCCAATGAGACAAAGAAGGCCCATGATTTTGAAGAAAGCCGGTAAGAATGTGAATTATAAGACTTTAAATACTTGACTCACAAGACATATAAATTTATGATGTTTAATTTACACAATATGATAAAATTATGTATGTCAATTAGTCAAGAGAGATATCATAACCCTATAAAATTATAGTTACTCAAATTGGATGTTAAATGTCCATCACAGTATTCAAATTTGCTTCTGTGTTCCTACCACTTTTTGTTCTTTTCACTTTTTGGAGCATATTGATTTTTACATATGAAAGACTGTAGATTTATAATGATTTGTTGAGAAACATTCCAGGCAAAAGATCAAAAGTTTGCATAACATTCAGTGTTAAATATATAATGCATATTCAGGACAATATAGGAAAATTAACTGTTAATGTGACTGCACTTATAAAGTATGAAAAAGAGTGTGACCTGTTAGAGATATCATAATGTTATTTATATGCAAAAAAAGTTTCATGTGATATTAGAAATAGATTAAACCCTAAATTTTAGACGGTTTTGAAATGGAATCTTTAAACAATGATGTGATTTTCTTTCATGCAGAGTGAAGCATCAAGTAGAGTATTTAGGGTTAAAAGAAAACATTAGAGTCAGAAGAGCAGGATATGCATTTAGAAGAGAGTTTGAAAAATTCCTTAGAAGGTAAATCTTATATTTCATATTTTCAGTCATTATTTTACAGATTTTATGGTCTGCAGATTTATTGTCTGTTTGTACAAGTCAAATGACCTTGACCTCATTTTATAGATAGTAATTCGCATTAAGGTTAGATGATAAATATAATCTGTTTGGTCATTTATTAAATGGTATATAGGACTATCTGACATATATGACCTAACCTTAACCCCATTTTGTTACTTCAGTAATTCATGCAAGACAACACAATGCAAAGTAACTGCCATTGAGTGTGGAAGTCCTTTAGTTAGGCACACAAGTTAATAGGTCAAACATATAATGGCTTTGACATCAAATTCAGTCTTAAAGTCATTATGGAGCTGTAGCATTGCATTGAGTAAAATTTTATTGAATTATTTAGAGCATAAAAACAATAAAAGTGGTTTTAAAGATTTTGATACTTTGTGATCTATTTAAGTGTTAATCATCTGTACTTCTTTTAAAGTTATTAATATTTTATTGTAGATATGCAATTTTAACCCCTGAAACTTGGCCTAATTGGAGAGGTGATCCTAAACAGGGAATTCAACATTTAATGAATACTGTCAATATGGATAATGACCAATGGCAGCTAGGAAAAACCAAAGTCTTCGTTAAAAACCCAGAATCTGTAAGTTAAGATACCTCAAGTCTTTTTCAGGAATCTTTACCTAGGACTAAGACAGTTTCTCTCTTAATGCTATATTCTCAAAGGAGGCAATGATTTAATGCCAATTTGAAAACATGATCATTTCAAAGATAAATATCAATTTTCTAAGGAAATATTCTATTTAAGCTAGGTCAAAATACATGAACAGCTACATTGAGAATTAGAAAGAAGTTAATGGTTATCTAGTAAACATACATTGATATTATTGCTTGGGTATTTATTTTAGATAATGTTTGTACTAGATATTAATTCTTTAAAATGCTTTAAGGAAATAATCAAATATTGCATTTTTAAATACACTATTTATATGATAAAAAATAAATAAGATAACTATCATTATCTAATATGTATCATTCTTTAAAAATTGCTTGATCTTGAAATGTTAACTACCTGCTTAAATACAAGGCTAATTTTTTGAAGGGGAGAAAATTCAGTAGTATGTTAGAAAAACTGTGGCTGTTTTTATATATATATATATTGTAATTTTCATTTCTTATATTATGATTAAACTACAGTAACAACCATGGCACGTACAGTTACCATTTCCAAATTATCATTCAAATACATAAAAAATCATAATGGTAAGATTTAACCAGAAATTAGTAGAACATATCCAGAATTAGTTCCTGATGTAAAAATTTAAATTCCTGGTGTCATATTTGAAAAGAAATATGTGTTCAGATTTATTTTTGTTAAAAAAAAATCACAAATTATGAGAAATATCTTTCAGTGCAAATATTTCAAATAATTTTGATGTACAAAATGTATAGGTATAATATTCTATTCCAAATTGATTCCTGGAGTAAAAAATAACCATGAGTCGTCATTTTCAGATAACTGCTAATTTGCATAAAAAAATTCATAGTACTGCATTTATCAAAACTTGATATCTATTTACAAGATATCTTGAATTAATTTTTTGTCTAATTTTTTGTCTAACACAAAAATGTGCAAGATATAGGTTCGCTTGCTGTTCGGTGTGAGCCAAGGCTCCGTGTTGAAGACCGTACTTTGACCTTTAATGGTTTACTTTTATAAATTTTGACTTAGATGGAGAGTTGTCTCATTGGCACTCATACCACATCTTCTTATATCTAATTATAAAAAATTCAAAAATTATGATTTAAAATCTTATGATATATAAACATTGGATGCAAGGCAGCTAACAAGTAAATTTTAGTAATTCAAAGAAATATGTAGTAGTTTTTATGAGGGGATGACCGAGGGGTGTTCTTTACTCAAATCCTGTTTTTTTTATTTTTTCTCATTTCCCACCCTTTTTTCCTTATTTTTTCAAGATTCTACTTATTTTTATCCCTATATCCCACATTCCACACTTTTTACCCCCTAAATCCCACATTCCAAAAGCGTGTCATCTCCCCCTTTTATTTCACAGCTTATAGTAAAACTTTCTAATCTAACATGATAGTGGTATTTTGTGTGTCTGTTTTAGCTTTTCTTGTTGGAAGAAATGAGAGAAAGGAAGTTTGATAGCCATGCCAGAATTATTCAAAAATTCTGGAGAAAATACTTTGCCAGAAAACAGTATTTCAAACAAAGAGAAGAAGGTATTGTACATTTACTAGTAGAGTTATGATTGAATTAAGAATATAGTACCTTTTTGAAATTGATTTGATTTTTGATTTTTGGTGTTTTAACACCACTTTTAAGCACTGCTTTTGGGCTATTTCGTGGCGGCCAGTTTTTATTGGTGGAGGAAGCCGGAGTGCCCAGAGAAAACCACTGACCTTCGATAGGAAAACTGACAATCCTAGTCAAGATTGGAGTCGAGTGCACCCGCACGAGCGGGGTTCGAACTCACAACCTCAGTGTTGACTGGCTAGTGATTACAGTAGTAACTACTTAGACCACTCGGCCACCGAAGCCCCCACTTTTTTAAAAAGGTAAAACCCAAAACCTTAAGTTTAACAAAATATTTTCAAGAGTTCAAAGACGGATTCAATATTTTGACCTTTTTTTAAATCTATGTCAAACAAATTTTCAAAGCGCCTAGAAATTAAAAACCACCACAGAAAATTGTATAAAACTTATGATATTTTGTACAAATATAGACTGCAAGTTTGGTGTTGATATGAATGTGAAATGTAAGATGGTACTATAAAGAATCTAATGACCGGTTTCCAGGTTTTATCAAGTATCTTATAGAACATACACAGACATTATTATGGATACCTGGGCAAAAAATAAAATTTAACTTGTTTGATGTTGCCTACCTACCCAGAAAATTTTATGACACAAATTGTTTCAAATTTTTAGCCAAAGGGCCAAGTGAGCTTTTCTCATCACTTGGCGTCCGTAGTCCGTCATCCATCGTCGTCGTTAACTTTTTACATATTGAACTTCTTCTAGAGAACCACTGTATGGAATGAAACCAAACATGGCATGAATGTTCCTTATGAGGTGCTGACCAAGTGTTGTTACTTTGTAGCCGATCCATCATCCAAGATGGCTGCCAGCAGGGGACTTAGTTTAACATAGGACCCTATGGGAAATACATACAAATGTCTTCTTTTAGAAAACCACTGAATAGAATGGAACCAAACATGGCATGAATGTTCCTTATGAGGTGTTGACCAAGTGTTGTTACTTTGCAGTCGGTCCATCATCTAAGATGGCCGCCAGCGGGGGACTTAGTTTAACATAGGACCCTATGGGAAATACATGCAAATGTCTTCTTTTAGAGAACCACTGAATGGAATGGAACCAAACATGGCATGAATGTTCCTTATGAGGGGCTGACTAAGTGTTGTTTCTTTGCAGCCGATCCATCATCCAAGATGGCCGCTAGCGGGGGACTTAGTTTAACATAGGACCTTATGGGAAATACATACAAATGTCTTCTTTTAGAGAACCACTGAATTGAATGAAACCAAACATGGCATGAATGTTTCTTATGAGGTGCTGACCAAGTGTTGTTACTTTGCAGTCAGTCCATCATCCAAGATGGGCGCCAGGGGGGGGACTTAGTTTAACATAGGACCCTATGGGAAATACATACAAATGTCTTCTTTTAGAGTACCACTGAATGGAATGAAACCAAACTTGGCATGAATGTTCCTTATGAGGTGCTGACCAAGTTTTGCTACTTTGTTGCCGATTTACTGTTCAAGATGGCCACCAGGATAGTTTATTAAATAACGGGACCAATATTAAACCAAATTTGGCCTCAATCATTATTTGGGTATCTGTTATGATTTTTATCTATCTTTACATGATTTCTAAAACCAAAGTAGAGTCAGGTGAGCGACACAGGCTCTTGAGAGCCTCTAGTTTATGCCCACGCTGTCTCCATCCGTCCGTCCCATTTTTGTTGCAAAGCTTGAGTGTGGGCATTCGTGTCCTCAGACAAATTTTTCTTTTATTAGTCCCCTACCAACGAAGTTGAAGGGGACTTTAGGTTTGCACTCTGTCCGTCTGTCTGTCTGTCTGTTCATCTGTCAGTCTGGCAAATCAGTTTTCCACTCTTTTTTTCTTTGTGCTTGAAGATATTGATTTAATATTTGGTATATAGTTTTATCATGACAAGTTACAGATCAGGTTCGTATTTTGTTCCAGTCTGATGATTTTTTGCAGAGTTATGGTCCTTGGACTTAGAAGATTCACTCAAATAATCAGTTTTCCACACTTTTTTTCGTCATCCTTGATGATATTGACTTGAAATTTGTTATATAGTTTACACCATGCAAAGTTATAGATAAAGTTAGCATTTTGTTCCAGTACAATGAATTCTTAACCGGTAGGGGACTATGTATTGCCATGCAATACTCTCAGAATGCTTGTTTTAAAAAAATTTGTCCTGCTCTAATGTCGTTTTCTTGTCTAAACCATGCAGTGTATGTTGTTGGCCAAAAAAAATAATCCCTACCTACCTACCCAACCCTACAATGCATGGGTAGGCAACTTCAAACAAAAAAAGATTTTTTTTAAGGGTGGCCCTGTGTTCTAGCAAGAATCTGAGCGAGGGAAGAGGTACCTAATCCAATAACAGATGCACTTTTATATTACATTGTCAAATATGAGAAGGGCCTCTTTATCTGTATTCTATACCCAGGCATAACTTTGTATTATATAACAGTAAATTTTGGTTTAATAATTTTTTTAATTAACATTTTTTTAATATTACAGCATCAAATATTCTTCTCAATAGAAAAGAGAGAAGGAGGTTCAGTTTGAACAGGAACTTTGTTGGGGATTACATTGGATTGGATGATCATCCTGCATTACGAGCTCTAGTCGGCAAACGAGAAAGGATAGATTTCGCTGAAACAGTATTGAAATATGATAGACGATTTAAGGTAATATTTATATGTTATTTTTTTATACTTTTTTTTAAGACAACTATAGTAAAAAGATATAATTTAGTATGAAAAAATTTTCATATGACAAATGTTTTTTTCTCAACTAAAGATGACTTTTAAAGAAGTAGAATAGAAGTGGAAGGTGTCCTTGAAATAATGAATAGTATTGTTAGTTTTATTAGTTTTGCTATATTCTTTTTCTTATATAAATTCTATATTTCATCTTTATTCTACAGGTCTTCAATTTATGAATATAATTTATTTTTAACCGGTTGCCAAAAAAAAAAGTATAAATTCTTTATTTGAGCTGTGTCGGATAGAAATCGACCTTATGCAAGTGCAGGTATACATGTACATGTATAAGACTTTGGTTAATTTTGGAACATTCAAATACGAGATTAAAGATGAATTTTACTCTGTTTTGTAGGGCTTTTATAACAATTCAATTTTCAAACAGTTACAGACTTTCTGTGGAGATTTTTTCAAACAGGAATAGATTAACAGATTTAGTGATATTCATTTGCATCAGGTCAATTTCTATCTGACACAGCACATTTCATGTGTTTGTTTATTCTTCCAGTCTTTAATTTATGAATATATATTTTTTAACAGGTTGCCAAAAGGGACCTGTTGTTGACACCCAAGTACATGTATTTAATAGGCAGGGAAGTGGTATGTGTTATTCTTTAGGCTTCAATTAGCAATCGCAGTATATCTGAATTACTCTATTGATAAATTTTTTAAATTATACAAGAAAACACACTAAAAATAGAGTTTGGGTGAATTTCTCAAGTCATACTGGAAAACTTGAACTGATAATATATCCTTGATTTTCTGATCTCTGTTAAGTTTTCTTTTAACATGATACAATATCTAAAGAAAAACTTTGTATAACTAAATTAGGTATTAGGTTAATGCATAAATGTGTGAATAGTGTAATTTTTTTAGTTTTCAGATTTAAGAGAACAAAGCCATTGTCTTTGAACTTTGAAATATTTTACAGAACAGAAGAATTTTTTAGAAAGGATATCTATTACAATGAATACAAAATTGAGTACTATTTATTCTATTATTGATAAGAACTTTATATGTGTATACAACATGGATCATATTTTGACAGATAAAAAAGGGACCAGATAAAGGAAGGATGATTGAAGTGGTTAAAAGAAAGATTGCAATAGGTGATATCAGACAGGTTTGTTTAAGGTAATACATGTTTTTATGCCCCTGCCATAGGCAATGGGGGCATTAATGTTACCCTTGACCTTCCGTCCGTCCTTCCATCCATCCCATGTTCATTTCCACAATCTAAGTTTTCCTCATCCAAATTTTATGAATATCAAAAACAGTGCTAAGAACCAAAACTCACAGACAGAGTTTGAATTTGGGCAGTGAGTCACTTACCGTTCTAGAGTAATGCCCCTTTATATCATGGAAAATTGCAAATTTTTCAGTTTTCGCACTCTATATTAAGTTTAACTCATCAAAATGTTATGAAGCTTATACACAATTTTAAGAACCACAACACACAGACAGAGATTGAATTTGGGTAGTGAGTCATGTACCGTTCTTGAGTTATAATTGTTTATACAGTTTCCGCACTCTAACTTAAGTTTGTCTCATTCATGTCCTCAAGACATATTCTTTTTTTGTTTATTAAAAAGTTATACTTTTCAAATTAACTTAAAATTCTCTTGTATTATGACTTTCCTGACAATACTATTCCCTAATTTGTAAAATTACTCATAAAAAAATAAAAGAAATCAAACGACAATTTGATTAGGATATATGATGATTGAACACTATTGAGCTTTTTTTGATACAGCCGATTTCAATGAGTGTGTAGCTAAAGGTAATATCTTTGGTTAGCTTGCTTGCTAGCTGAACCGTGAAGTCATTGTTATGTTAGGTAAACTACCCTCCTTTAATAGTAGACTAGTCCGACAGATGACCAATTTATCTGTCTGTAGGACTAGGCTACTTCAATCGGAGGGTAGAATACCTTACCTAACAATGACTTCACGGTTCAGCTAGCAAGCAAGCTAACCAAAGATATTACCTTTAGCTACACACTCATTGAAATCGGCTGTAAAATACATAATCATTGAATGTTTGAATAAATGTTCTTGATATTGTCAGACAATGTCAGCTTAATGTTATTTATGTTATACAATTTTCTTTGATGTCATTTTGTATAAAATTTCAAGGAAAATGACAATAAATCAATCCCCTCTTACTTGTATACAACCAACATTCCCATAAAACTAAAGTAAACATTGAATCATATTTATTTTTCAGTCCGCTCCAGGATGATATGATGGTCCTACACATAAACAATGAATACAGTAGTATGCTAGAGTCCATGTTCAAAACTGAATTTTTAGCAACATTGAATAAACGGTTGAAAGAAACTGTGAACAGAGAAATCAGCATTAATTTTTCCGATGCGTAAGTTTGTAGAATTCAGTATTGCGTTTTCTTATGTGTTAGTTGTCTGTAGAATAAGCAATTGAATTGTTTATGAGTAAATTTGTCTTTAGACTTCAGCACTGTGTAAGTTTGTCTGTAGATAAAAGATTTACAATAGATTTATTGCTATAATTCACCTCAGAAGGTGAAAGGACAACATGTTTTTTTATTATACTCCCACTTTAGGAGTACTGGCTGTATTGCAATCACCATGTCTGTCTATTTGTCTGTTCATTCATTCGTCCAACAAATATTTTCGTCACACTATTCTCAGGAACTACTGAACAGAATGACTTCTAATTTGGTAAAGAATTTCATAAATCAATACAGTGGCCAATGATCAGAAGTTCTGAAGATCATTATTGAATTGAGTAAACAGATTTAATCCTTTTGTTAACTTTAGAATCATAAAGTCTGGGTGCAATACATGCCTTATTTATGCCAAATATTTATCTGTGCTTTTGATTTAGTATTTACATTTATTATAAAAAAGAGATGTTTATGCTCTTGGTATTTTTAACTCATAGCTATACAAATTTTGTTTTATTTTGGAGAAACAGTAAATTTATGCCATCTTTTGACCTTAAAATCTTTGTAATTGTCCTAATGTATCATATGAAAGATCATATACTGTAAGTTAAGAAATTAATGTGTTCATTTATTATTGGGATTTTTGAAGAATGGACAAAAATTACGAGATTAATTAGTGCGATTTCAGGAAAATCTGCATACGGATATATGCGTCAGATATCGAAATGCGAGTTCCTATTATTGTGATACTCACCCTGTCACAATATTCGCATTTAATTAAAAAACCTCTCAATAATTTCTAAATTTACAGTTGTTAAGATTTTTCACATAACACTCAGTTACATATGTATTTTAACCCTAAACTTGCATGTTTTTGGTATACATGTAAATCTTTTTTTTGCACCAAATAGCCCTTATTTTTGTCCACTGTCACAGCACAGCAAAGTGGTGGACATAACAATAGTCTTAATCCTTCTGTAACACTTTGTGAACATTATTCCTTTTAGACTGTTTTTATAGAAGCAAATGTATTTTTTTTATAGGAGCAAGTTGGAACAGTCTAACATTTGATGAAGATATGAAATATATATAATATGGTTTTCACTTTTTACAGGATTGAGTTTCCTGTGAAGAAGGAAGGTTGGGGAGGAGGAGGCAATCGAGTTCTTAAGTTTGTCAAACTTAACCAGGTTCAGGATGTAGCTACACTAAAACCTTCAGGGAAAACATTGACTGTCAGCATTGGTCCTGGATTACCTAAAGATTCAAGTATGTTATCATTTTAAGTTGTTGTTCATTTAAGAATCATGCAAAACCAAAATTTTGTGATACACTTCATGAATAGCTACAAATGTTTTATTTTTGTCAATCAGTTGCAATGTTAATGTAGATGAATTGAATGAGTAATATTTTCCATTTACTGCCTTTAATACCAGAAAAGATAATTAGCATACATTTTACAATATTATTGAAGTTATCTCCCTCAACATAAGTTTTATAATGCATTCTATAGAATTTATATTTCACCTTGTATGGGTCCATATAAAAAATTATACACGAATTTCAACATTCTTTTGAATTCTTAAAAAAGAATTCATTTGTAGGCTTTCCACCTTTGAATCACATTTTGCATGATTCTTTAAGTGTGTAATACATTGGTAATATCTTTGACAGGTTAAACCAAAAAGTTTGTATTTTGTTTTTCCTCTGCTTGGCATTGATTATAAGCATTTAGAAATATGGACAAGGATCAGATTGTTGTAAGAATTCTACTTCATATATAATCTAATATTTTGATGATATCATCTTCTGTGTAAGTTTTTGAGATTTATGCACTTTCTTCCATTGATTTGGCATAATCTCAATGTGAACTTGGTGGATAAATGTCTCATTGGTAATCAAACCTCTCCTTGTTATTTCATATTGTTCAGAAAATCCAAATCCAAAGTTGTTCAGTAAAAGCAAGATGTGTTATCCATTGTTTTCTCCGGAGTGTTTTTCTCGCATTTTGAGATGCAACAAATATGACACAATGACATGGTTTCAACTGTAATACCTGGTACAGTCCTTGGTCAGGATTTGTTTAGGAATTTTGTTTAAACTGGTGGTGGATCATGGTAGAATGCTTGCCTTTAGTACTGGAGGTCATTGGTTCCATCCTTGGCCAGGTCAAACCAAAGATTTGAAAATTGTAATTTGCTGCTCATCAACTAAGCCTATACCATTAAGGAGTAAAAGCAAAAACTGGTTAGCTTAGAGTTAAAATATTGTGTCCTGATAGGATGACATGTCATCCTGTGGACTGTAGCCTTGTGAACCAGCAAAATTAAAATCCTACTCTTGATAAAAAACAGGGATCATATAAATCATATCACATCAGCATGTTCTTGTCTTGAAATCAATCCAAATATCCATCAATCCATGGATTTATCATTTCAGAAAAATTTGGTTATTCATTGACGTGGAGTAAACACTGCATTTTTTATGCATTTTTATGCCCCCTGCCGTAGCGGAGGGGGCATTAAGTTTTACCCTTGTCCGTCCGTACGTCCCAAAGTTGGTTTCCGTTCTCTAACTTTAGTTTGCCTCAACAAAATGTTATGAAACTTATACAAAATGCTTATTACCACAAAACACAGATCAAGTTTGAATTTTGGTGGCGTCACTTTAACCATTCTAGAGTTATGCCCGTTTACAAATGGAAAAATTGCTGAATTTTTCGTTTCTGTTCTCTAACTTAAGTTAGCCTCAACCAAATGTTATGAAATTTATACACAATGCTTAATACCACAAAACACAGATCAAGTTTGAATTTTGGTGGTGTCACTTTTACTGTTCTAAAATTATGCCCCTTTACAAATGGAAAAAATGCTGAATTTTTCCTTTCCGTTCTCTAACTTAAGTTTGCCTCAACCAAATGTTATGAAACTTATACACAATACTTATTGCCACAAAACTCAGATCAAATACAAATTTTAGTAGTGTCACTTTTACTGTTCTTCAGTTATGTCCCTTTATAACTTTATATGATATGCAAGCGGGGGCATCATCTGTGTCCCATGGACACACTCCCCATTTATTTATCCTTGATATGATTGAAACTACCTATGATTTACCTATGCATTCATTTTAAAAGTGTTATGGTTAGAATAAAAGGAGATATGGGGTATATGAGGTAATGAAACAGCATCCTAGCAACACAAAAAAATATATACTGACTTCGGTTAGATTGATTGTTGGTGTTTAACACCACTTCTAGCACTACATTGTGGTGGACAGAATTTGTTGTTAGAGGAAACCAGAGTGCTAGGAGAAAACCACTGACCTTTGGGTTGAAAACTGGCAATTCTTATTATAAGAATTGGAGTCGAACACAACTGCCACATGCAGAGTTCGAAATCACAACCTTAGTGTTGACAGGCTGGTGATACAGTGTATGAACTACTTAGACCACTTGGCCATCAAGGCCCCAATTTCAGTTAGACAATGAAGCAGTGATATAAATGTAACACAATGGAGACAATGAAGCAGTGATATAAATGTAACACAATGGAGACAATGAAGCAGTGATATAAATGTAACACAATGGAGACAATGAAGCAGTGATATAAATGTAACACAATGGAAGTCTGTATAATTTACTTATTCAAGATTGAATTGTTCAACAGTGAGAATGGGATGTTCTTGTCTTAGTGGCATGAAATTAAAGGACATTGTACATAATGCAGAATAAATCACCACTTGAACAATATTTTAGTTACAAACTTGTGTGTGCTGACAGTTTTGATTATATGTATTTGATTCAAATTAGTATTTTTTCATAACAATAGGACCAGGCATGAAGAAAATGGCAGTATCCAATGGTTCAATGAATCGTAGAAACCGTATGTCGCAAAGAGGACCTCCATCACGTCCGGCTCCTACAGGTCCACCTCCTTCACAAGGTGCACCACCCATACCTACATCAAGCAGTAAGTATTTCAGATCTAAGCTACAGTGGATATTAATATATAAATAAAAGTTTTTGTTATATCATCATTCAAAATATATAGATAAAGCTAAGTACTCATCCAAGTACAAAAGAATGCCTGTATAAGATCCGTTTTTGAGGCTTCATTTATAATTCTGATTCATTCTTCACAGACCATATTTACGTTAGTGTACAATTTCGAGATAATATTTTTATATAGATATTAGCAAAATTTCCCACTTTAGTCAATAGAATGGTGATTTTTCAAGAAGGTTTGTTCTGAAAAATAGTCAAGTGATAGTTAATTTTTTTTTTTTTTTTTTTTTTTTGAACATTTCTTTCAAGAAAGATCAGAATTATAGATAAAGCCCTAGTAAGGTTTGGCCCTAGAAATGTGAAATTTAAACTCCATAAATATAAACAGCTTGACAGTATATCTTATTCTTTAAATAGTGCTAGACTTCTTTTGCTTCATTGGTGCGAGATACAAAAGTTGATGTGATTTAAACGTTTCTGTTTGAAATGTTTTAATATCTAGTTTTATTTGTTAGGGCCAACAGGACGAGGTAAACAATAATTGTTTTGTTGCTTTTAATATATAAAAGCTGGTATATATGGACTGCATCAAATGTGGAAAGAATTTAAAAATATATGATTTTGATTATCTCCATATTGGCCAAGTTTATGCAAAAGATGGGGTTCTTTGAAAGTTTTGATACTATAATGTCATTTTGAAATATGGCATGGACTAGATTTCCCTTTTTTACAAAGAAATGAGCCTAAAATTATAAAATACTATAATTTCTGGGTGTTTTTTTTTCCCCCTTTTATATGAAATGTGATAGCTCAACAGCTTAAACTGTATAGTGTGTTCCAATTATCCTTAATTCTCTTGACTTAAGTTAAATCAAATATTTAAAGTCTATAGATAATTTCCTAATGTTTTGATATGATTCTTTCCACTTGAGCTTAGTATTGTGATGCATGTCTCCACACTGTGTTAGTTAGCATCAACCACATTGCAATATACATTTCACAAAGATGGTGAATAGTACAATATAAATAGCTTGTTTGTTAGTGCTTGCTTTATTATTACTGAATTTTTCCGATGCACTGAAGTGAATTTGTGGAATGTTGAATTTTTTATTTATCCTTAATTCTAAACTGCAAACCACTTTATGTGGTACATGCAACAATCTATTTGGATAATACCCTGAGTTTTTTAAAAAAATGTTCCATTGGAACTGACTTAGCCAAATTTTCGTGTAAGAGGCTTTGGTGCTTTGTATCACATGGTATTGGCTTCCATAATATTAATTGGCTAATTGTGCTTGATAGCTAAAGTTTGAAATGCTGATGATAATAAAAAGCAAAATAGGTTTAACCATATTAAATAAGTGCATCAAAATTAATTATAGAATGTATTACTTGCTAAATGCTTTTGCAATGTTCAAAAGATAGACAGATATCTTTAATGTATTATTTGGCTTCAGATAAGATGGCTCTTCATTTCTTAAATTCTCCTACAAACAAAGTTTTTGGAGTATATAGTGTGTCCATGTGCTTTGTATGCACAACTCCAAACTCGCTGGATGGATATTGATGAAACTATACACAGTTGTAGAACAATACCTAAGGATGTGCAAAAAGGAATATAATTTTAGTTCTACATTTTGAAGGGGAGATAATAGAACTTACTTGCATAAGTAATATAATGTGGAGGATGGTATATCCTATTGTAGGTTCATTCCTGTTCTAGTTTCAACTATGTTTGATTCAAACTCAACTGATTAGATAACACAGTTTTGATTTAATTTAAAAGAAACCATTAGTTCTATAAATTCTTTAACAATATTAACAAATATGAAATTACAATGTATAGCTTTAACTAAGGCTTCAACAAATAATTATGGCATATCAGAAATGTTCTTGACTGAATTCTGAAATTTCTTGAATAAAATTTGAAAGAAAATTTTATTCCACTGTCTAATGTTTTTTGTGAGTTTTACGCTGTTTTTGTCTCACCTAAACAAAATTGATAAGGCGAGACTTAGGTGTGCTGTTTCAGGTGTCTGTGTGGACAGGAGCATCAACAATTTTCAAAGTTTGTGGTTAATAGGTCAGTTTAAATGGAATCACTAATGGAACAATAATATTTGGTATACAATTGCTTAGAATTGGCACATCTCAATGTTTTCTTTTTCACAATAACAATGGATGTAAGGTTTATGTTCCAAAGATGCAAAGACCCAGTTTTAGTTGATTCTAAACTTTTCATCTTTTGTATCATAAGTGCAGTTTGATGCAGACTTTTTCTAAATTCCTTATTAAGATCCCTGCGAGCATTTTTCCATCAGATTTGATAGATATTTTGATTTACATGGCAAAAGGTCATAAAGTCACTTTAGTGCCTGGTACATAATTTTTGTTAGTTTAAGTCAAATTGGAATGTGAATTGTTTCATTGATATCTTCTGAAGCAGGAATGAGTTTCACAAAAATTCTTACGACTAAAATTGATCGTAAGTCTTACACAATTCAGTATACTTATGATCAACATTAGTCGTAAGATTTTTTGTGAAACTTGTTCAAGAGCTTTAAAAAAAGTAGTTTCCACATTGCTGTATTATGCTGCACTAAATGTAATTAATTTTTTATCAATATTGAATTTTCAGGTAAAATGGTTGATGCTCAAACCATAAAATATCCTAGAAATTAAAACAAAATAAATTTAATAAATGATTTTCTTATCTGCATTAGATAATGATATATTTAGATATATGCTGACTTGCTGGCCAAATGTTGTATCAGAAACAATCAAAAGAATGACAAATTTCTTTTTCATAGCCTTATAAAAATTACATTTTCCAATAACAGGTGGACAAAGAAGATCAAAAAGATTTAGTGAAAATGCCCCATCACATCCTATACCAAAGTTAGGCAATGTTGGTCGTAAGAATAGCAAGACAGGATTGAACACAGACTTCCTAAAAACACCAGAATCTGGCATGGCTGGGTATGTAATAATACAGTTTTATTTATAAATGAATATCTTATACTTACGTTGCTGTCAGATGCATCATGGGTTTTGACTATTTTTATATTTTGTACTTATACCTCTGATTTCAATTTGATTTCTGATTTTATTTGCTCAGAGCCGATTTTTTTACAAATGTGCATGCAGTCTGTTTAAGTGTTGATATAAAAATATAAAAATATATGATTTTATGAAATCAAATAGTTTCAATGACTTTTATTTATTGATTGTGTATGCCCTTTTATAACTACAATTTTTTATTAATATTATCGGTACATTATTAGAATATGCAGCCTTTTTAAATACCCTTTCAAAAGGGGGATATATTTCATTAAGATACAAGTTAATGTGATATATACTTTTAAATATTTTATTGTTCTGTTGGATCACTTATTTTGGCTTAACTTACAGCTGATATTTCACTTGAAATTACAAAAAAAAAATTGTTTTGACATTTCCCACAGAGTATACAGACAAGAAACTTTTTTGACAAGATATGATTAAAGAAATGACAAAATACTATTAATATCAGTACATTTTCAAATTTACTATTAAGGTCCATCAAACTTGACCTACCAGAATTTTTCTCTGACCTATCAGAAAATTATCAATGAGTCAATTAGTCAGATTGCTTTTTCTTCTGGATGCCTTTTGGGGGTAATTTCTACTTTCTAGGGCCAGTTGAAGCAGTCTTGGACTGTTCTGGATCAAGATAAAAAAATCTCTGGTGAAATAATGTTTTTAGAATTTAATGGGAACAACTTTTCCTCACCTTACTTATGACTTTGTCAAGTGAGGTGGGATTTTTTTTCTTCAAATATAGGTCAAGAAATTTTTTAATTTAATCAAGTTTATTTCGAGATCTTTGTTGCCTGCTAAATGTCCATGCTTTTCATCATTCTAGGTCTGTTAGTTTTTTCAACTTTCTTCTTTTTTTTTTGAGAATTTTTTGTTGATAACCCAATATATTTTCTACAAGGCTGCGACATATTGACGAGGAGCGTATGAATGAGTAAGTTTGCTGTTTTCTCCTGTTTGTTCTGATCTACACAGAAAGGTCCATGCACTAGAATACCGTGTTAAATGTTTTACTAAATTTTTTTGTGCAGTATGGTTCGCCTTCAATTGTATGCTGCTTTGAAAATTAATACACAGTGCATGGATCTTTCGTCAGTAGTTGACTCTCATTTGATACTAGATTTCAAATAACAAATTTAAAAAACTTTTTTTACTGACCAGTTTTGATAAATTTGGCTTTCAGTATAAATTTCAATATTACTGTTAACATATAATTTGATATATGTGTATGTTTTATTATTGACACAGAAAATTCAATAGGTGTGTATTTTATTTTTTTCTTCGAAATTATATTTATTTGTTTTTTCAACAAAATTTATTTATTTCATAATATGGCAGATATTATTTATTTCATCCCCTAGTAGTAAAAATATCCTCATTTTTGCTTTAGTAATCATAAGAATAATTATTTGACATGATTATTAGTGGTGAACATGTGTTGTTGGATTGCTGTACATGTTAATGTCTCACAGATTGCTTGATGTGGCCTAGCCTGAATGAAAATGGAAATAATGTGGCGCTGCTTGATAGTCTTTATCTGCTAATTTTTTTTTCTAGTTAAATGCAAATTCACAAAATGTGGTTGCAGATTATGAAGAATTGAAATAAGACTTAAATATGTTTGACAATACATCTGTCTTTGTACAGTTTTGTGCGAGACCAACTAAAAAATCTTTTACTTTTGCATTGATTTATTTTTTTTTCTTTTTTTTTTTTGGTGTGTAGAAAAATCTAGCTTATTTTTTTAGAAAAATTGTCTCTACCTGAAATTTAAAAAAATCAACGATAATAATTCCCTTCCTACAAAATCTAGCAATAGTTTAATTTGTGTCGGAAGTATTTATTTCATATTTCAGTTCACGTTAACCCACTAGTTTTGTGTTTGCATGCATTGCACCCTATACTTTGAACAAATTCAATAATATTGAGTTTGTTCATGGTATAAAATCATGAGTTTTGAAATGGTGAGGATTATGCTGACAGCTGCGAAGGAGACTATAACCTAATAAAATTCTACATTATACCCATATTAAATACAAATTATTGAAACGTTAATGTGTATAAGTTACATTTTCTACCATGTGGCCGTTGAAGGAGTGGATGGCAATACATTGTACATCTTTGTAGGGTTTTTTTTTTTTTTAATAATACTACAGTCAGATATTACTAATGAGATTTTATTATAAAAATAGGTTTAAATATTAGCATATTAAAACACAGGACTTAAGATATGTTGAAAAATATGAAATACTATTTCATGGAGTACATTTTATGTCCTATCATTCTAACTATTCTAAATTTCAGTGTACAAAGAAATAAAACAGCTTCAAAGAAGCCACCACCAGGAGCAGGAAGACCTAAGCCCCCACCGGCACCTAAACCTAAAGCATTTCCTCAATGTCGCTGTCTCTATGCCTATGATGCTCAGGACACTGATGAGCTTAGTTTTAATGAAGGAGATGTCATTGAAATTGTCAAAGAAGGTGAGATCTTTGAACCCTAGTATGTCGAGCTGACCATTTTAATGTAACACAAGCCATTGTATTTGATGTACAATTGTGTTATGAAGACATACATACCTGCCTGAAAAAATATCTTCTAAATTAAAACTTTGTGTTTTTTTTTTAATACACTCTCTGTATGCAGAAATTTTTCACAAATTAGGTCAATTTGTGCAATTCATATCAGGATGGTATGAATAACAATATCTTCTATATCTGGATTTTGGGCTACTAATTATGGATGTTAGAATAAACAAATGGAGTTAGGGCATGATTGCCAATGAGACAGCTTTCCACTATAGACCAAAGGATGAAAAGGCACTCCACAGCCTTCAACAATGAGCTAAAATTAAAAGCTATGAAAGACATGACAAAAATTGAAAACAAGTCAAAACAAAAACAATTAAGGCAGACAAGTTACTTTTTCTCACCATTAAGTAAGTGAGTCAACCTTTATACCATTTTGATGACATCACAAGTTATTGTACTTGATGTTCAGTGATGTCATAAAAGACAAAATATCCACCTGAAAACTATCATCTATATTTTAAGTTTTTATGTGTTTCATAATTAAATGAATTTTTCGGATACCTAGTACAGATATTTATTCCATTGCATATCAAATACGGAAACAAGTTATAAACATACAACATCTGCTACTAGAGAATTCATGAAAATAAAATGAAAATTCACTTTTGTGTTAACATTTAATAAGTCCATAATTTTTACATCTTTTTTCTGTGGTCATCTTTTCGTTAGAATACCATTTACCCGGTAGATTCTGTCAATGTTTTAAATGGTAGCTTATCCAATCACATGTGATAGTGATATTTTTGTCACCAAATAGTTATGTTCACCATTTAGAGACAAATTAAGGATATGGATCAAGATTAATTTCGGGTTCCAGTAGGGTACCCCCCTTAGGTAGCAGGGTTACTTTAAAAAAAGCCTCTGATCACCAGGTCACTTTTTAGCCAATTTGAATAAGTCTTAAAAGTAAGGGTTTGAACATTTTTAAAGAGGACAGTTCACAGGTCATTTTTAGGTCAGCTATCAAAACTGTCCAAGGTCACTAAATTGAATTTGACCATGTTGATGCCACTAATTTATCTGTATTCAAAAGACTTAAAACTAAATTTAGTGTTTGTATCATTATGGATTAAGGTCAGCTAAGACTTAGCTTTACAAAAGTGAAAAATGAAGCACTGTGGATTCATTTATTTTTGTGGGTACCAATTTTTGTGGAATGAGGAAAACTTGCATATTCATGGATATTTAATTTCGTGGTTTTGGCAAAGTCTGCATACATTCCTTTAGGAAATTTATACTTCGTTAAACAATTTGAATTCATGGTTCCCCTGTACCCACAAAATCCATGAAAATTGGTATCCAACGAATTATAATGAATCCATAGTAGCTTGATATGTAACATTAAATGTTTGAAAAAATATCATTTATCTCATCGTTTTAAAGAAGAAGTACTGATAATCACTTTTGTATAATTTAGATCCAGCTGGCTGGTGGACAGGGAAACGACATGGAAAACAAGGGCTATTTCCTGCAAACTATGTAGAGAAGCTATGAGATGGACTTTAGTGTTACATACTATCCAAAATCTTTATTGACTGGGTTAAACTATCTAAACTGTAGTCTTTCCTTGTTAAAATATTTTATATTTTATCGCCTGATACCATTATGACTTACAACTTTAAAAGTGCTGAAATGATATCCGAAATATTTGTTAACTAAAATGAAGCATAAACTGTGAATTAGTCCCTTTTCAGAGGTTTTTAAGGATCTAGTCGATCAATGTTCAATGTCTCTCCTAAGTTTCTAAATTGCAATACCAGTAACTTACAAAACAAACATTTTACAATATTTATTGAGAATCGTTAAAGTTTTCTCTCTATATTGATAACATGTCTGTGCTCGGTGCAAATTCAATAGATAAGTTACTGATTGATACAATTTGTGCTGGAATTAGTCCCCTTTTGTCGCCATGTTGGAGGATAGGAATGCCCTTTACCGTCAGTCGTCAAATGTTCATTTTCGACTACCGTTAGCATCAAATTGGTTAAAATTTTATATTGATTCGTCAAAATTTCCTTATTGTGATTCGTCAGAGGTCTCAATTAATTAACTGTTATCGTTATTTTTGGAAAGAATTTAACGTGATTTGTCAAAATCAGTCGATTTTTTTATCGTCATAAAGAAAGCGTACATTTTATTGTCATGCACCAAAAATTACCGTTAACGTCATTTGGCAAGATTTTTTACAGTTATTCGTCATGAAGGTACCCCCATTACGACCCTAATGTTGGAGGTCTATGTGCAGAAATTCCTCCATATTTTAATTTTGGATTTTTTAGCCCTGCTTGAATCATCACTACAATCTAGTAAGGATCTCTTATCAGACTTGTTTGTACCGCATGTTTTAATTTGGTCAGTCATATAAGAAAATCAACCGTTTATCCCTCCAAAATGGCAGCCAAGGGAAATAACTCAAACTCAAATTATGTCATATTGAAACCTATCCATAAGTTTGTTAATGATTAAGTATAAATCTCCACTTGTGTATAACATGTCACCTCATTTGCTATGTTGATATGATCTGATGATATTCTGACTGCTTATTTTCATATTTTGGTTGTTAAATCATGCTTTTAGAATCCATTTTCTTTAACATTTTTACTCTTAGTATAGTTATTTCAAGGGTAAGGAGTAGCTAAGTTTTTTCTGTTCCATGACACCAATTGCTAAAGACACTGCTGAAAATGTAAAAAAAAAAATTTTTTTCCAGTCAACAACCGTTTTTTTAATTAAGAAAACTACTGTTTGAAGTATGCATGTTAATAAGAGTTACTGCCCCTTGTTATATTTCATATCAGCAAGAGTCATTGGGTTAGGGTTCCTTTTTGTGTTAACAGTTCTAGTCTTATCAGGTAGGAATTGTTATAGTTACATTCCAGTATAAATTAATTATGTATTAGGTATATTTTGTAGGCAAGTTTTTAATTATTTTGTATATTTATTTTTAATTTATTCATTAAATATATATTCATACTGCTAGGTTTTTTTACCCACTGTTTCATAGAAAATGTATTTATTCTTCTAACAAATCAAGTGGGATTTTATTAGCTGCAGGACCATATGTCTTATTGTCCTTAATGATAATTATTGGTATTTGTGGACCATAGCTCTATTGTCGGCACAAATCAGAAATCACTACCGGCTTAAAGACTATGGTTCTGAAGTTAAGATTTAATACACTAAGAATTTTCATTTCTGTCAATTCATTGTTAGTTTTGTAGTCATAAGAAATAATTTTATAGAGTTATTTCTAGGATAACCTTGAATTGAAGATATTACTCTTTAAATATCAGAATTTCAATAGTTAATATGAGCAGACTTTTTACATTGTGTGGCTGACGAATCAGTGTTGATTTTGAAGAGTTGATAATTAGAAAATCAGTTTTTGTAAATTTGTAGATGAAATTTATATTGTTTAAGAGAACAGCATAAGAGATCTGAAAGTACTGAGATTTATAGACTTTTGAGATGGATACTTAAGGTCTAGTTGCAATAAATGGCAATGTCACAGATTTTTAGAAGTTTTGCACACAACTTGATCATTTTGAACTTTTATTGAAAATTAAAGAAATTTTTACATGATCTGTTTTATATTTGACAGAATGATGTAATGAAAACTCTGAAAATAGATACAAATATAAGAATGCACATTACCAGACATTAATGTTATCTTGATTATAATCAAAATGATCTTAATCATAAAATTAAGCCATTGATTAATAAAAAAGTTGATATATTACATTGTACAACCAAACATTTTTGTTTTCACTATGTGAATTAGTTATAAAGTCACCAGAATTGCATTTTGTGCACACAGGTAAATGAGTAAAAAAATCTCAGAAAATGTCCAAATAAGTGTAATTTTGTAATACTTTGAAATTAATAAACAAAAAATCATATTTTAAAAAACTTTCATAGAAGAGGACTTTTATAATTTTTCATTCAAACATATTTTGAAAAATACATTTTTTTAGTTAAAATTGAAAAATGCCCTTATGTAACTTGACCTTTTCAAATATTGCATTTATTTCTTCAATTTTGAAGTCATTTAAGGTGGTACCTAACACTACAGGGAGATAACTCTGTAAAAATCAGCTAAACGTTTTAATTACGTTGTATTGTTAAGGAAATATTAAGCTTCTCAATGATCAAAATTAGTGTTTGTCAAACTGCTATATAACCAACGAAATTTTTCTGATAAAGTGGTTGGTTCAAATTTTTTGAAATTTTTATATTTTTGTCAAAGGGTCAAAGTAAACATTTTGTCAAAATTTTATGAAAATTAAACGAGCCAAATTAATATTAGTCAAGGTGTTGGGTACCACCTTAATTATTTTAGAAGAATTTATAAACATAAATCTTTCATTAATGTATTGTGAAATGATAACTTAAATGTATTTTCTGCATGAGAACAACAATCTTTGTAGGATTTATTCATTGCTTTGATATCATTAAAGAATTGTCAAACATCTCATGTATCATTGATGTCATGGGTTCACTCATCAGATTTATTCATGGCCATTAAAAATTAAAAAAAAATTAAAATTAAAATCCATTTATAACAAAATTAAGACTATACATACTGATATTTTAATCTAATAAAAGTATTTAAGTTTATTTAATCATAAGACATTATTTTTGCTTTTGGGAGGAATTATTTGTTGATAAATTTTATTAATTTTGATCAAGAAAATAGATGGTGTTTTCCCTCTGATGTCAAACATTCCATTGTATATCCTTAAAATTATACATTTATGGTCCTATTTTGACATTATGTTTTCTGTAAATATAATGAAAATGTGTCTTAAAAAGTTCAACAAAATATTGAGAACTGGCCTTCAGTCATTAAAATTTGAAGTACAATTATTGTACTCAGACTAAGAATTCAACCAATCTAAATGGTGGATTTGGTGTTTTGAGCACAAATTTTGTACTCCATCAACTTTTACGACCAAGGGCCCTGAACTAAAGAAGAATATGCAGCATTTTTGAATTATATTATGTGATGTCCAATCAACCATGACTGTTACATGATATTGTTATTGTTTTATCTTTGTTAATTTGTATCATAAGTTGAATTACGTTTCTCAATAAGAATCTGCAGATATATAAATATATATATTTGATTTTTAAATATGCTTGTTATGATATTTTATAAACATTTTATTGTATAAAATATTCATTGATTAAAAAATATTTAAGCATTTATTTTTATTTTTATTTTTCATCTTTATATCATGGCATAAAATTTATATATCACCTTTATATTTATCTATTTGCTTAAATGGTTTTCTAAGATGAAGAGGTATCGATATTATATTTTGTACCCCAAAACCTTATACAAATTCCATTCTGTTTGTCAGGAAAGTATTACAATTTATAAGTTTGTATCTGTATAACTGAGCAGAAAGTCTCATTTTAAGAGAGAAACGTTAATTCCTGGAGACTTCTCAGTTGATCTATAGTTATCACTTTGCATCAACGTATGGATTGAAACCCAACACTGCAATAGCATGATTAAAAAACTTAAGAGGTGTAATATTTCAGTAATGGTTCTATGGCATGCTATCAAAAAAGGTGGAAAGCAGGTTTCACACGAATGCAGTAAGAGTTTATTAAATGCTTTTTGTCAGTAAATAGTCGAGAAGTAATATTCTTTGAATTCAAAATGTTTGTTTTCATCTACTTTTCTGTTTGGATTTTGTGCAGAGAAATCACCATGATTCATGGATCAGAGTTGGGTATGTAGCTTATTTGTTATGCCCCTGCCTCTAGGTGAAGGGGCATTAAGGTTTACCCTTGTTTGTCTGTACATACGTCCCGAAAATAGTTTTCGTTCTCTAACAAATTAGTTTGCTTTAACCAAATGTTATAAAACTTCTACACAATGCTTATTACCACCAAACACAGATCAAGTACAAATTTTGGTGGTGTTTATTTCACCATTCTCGAGTTATGTCCCTTTATAAATGAAGAAATTGCTGAATTTTTCGTTTCTGCATTAAGTTTCAAAAGAAAATAAAACGTCAATAGGTTTGAATCAGTACATTACTCTTGCAAATTAACAAGCTGGGGCATCTGTGTCCCATGGTCATATTCTTCTTTATTTTAAATTAAACGGGAAAGTTGGGTATACTTTAATAAGATTGAATGATTGTTGCCTGCTTAACAGCCAGTGGCAAATATTTCATATTTAGGACAAATACTTCAATAAGACAACAACACAATAAAAGACATTTTGAGGTAATTAAACAATAAACAAAAGTGTAGGTACCATATTTCAAGCTTTAAAAATTAGTCTAAAAACAAGGAAGTATTTGAATCTGGAATAATTTTGAATTCTGGAAAATTGATAAGAAATGTATGATGAAAACTAACCAAACTAAAGAGGGTTAGCCATGCGTGCATGGCTAGGATTAATTTTACTTTCACTGATATTTCAGTATGAACTAACTAACCCCCCTTAACCCTCCTAAATTGGGCTAGTTTTCCACGTACATTTCTTATCAATTTTCCAGAATTCAAAATTATTCCAGATTCAGATAATTCCTTGTTGAAATAAATTGTGGATAAACCAAAGATCTGCCATCCACTTTAAATTCCTTATTAGAAGATAAAATATGGAATAAAAATTAATCATGATGAGGCTCCTGATTTGAGACCACATTAATGGGAGTTAAACTAATTTCATGGATACTTAATCCTCCTCTAGATATCTTGGAATAAGGAAATGATTTGTTTTTACTATTGGCTTGCCTGCTAAGAATTGTCATTGAAGTTAGACACACATATGCTAATTAGGTGACAGCATGTTTGTGTAAAAAACTACATTTCTGAAGAAAAGCTGGATAAACCCTATCTTGCATACAGATGCCTTATCATATGAAGTTTCCCTTAAAGTACATGTTGGTTGTCCTTGACCTCATGTTTATGGTTCTTTAACCAGTATTAAGTTTTAGTGATTTAAGCAGGTAGGTTTTTAAATTACTATTATTAATAGGTATGTCCTATGAACACCTGACTTCACCAATGCTTTTTGGGGTTCATGATGCTATATTTTAGATTTGTATATGTTTTATTATTGTTTATAGATATAAGAAGATGTGGTATGAGTGCCAATGAGACAACTCTCCATCGAAGTGTTTGTCTTTTTGGTCATGATGTTCTGTTTTTATTTGACTTTTGATCGTCCCCCTTGGTATCCTCTCTCTCTTTATAATGTTTTTGTTTTACAGCCTGTTCAGAAAAATCGAACATTGTCAACAAACTAAAATTATTGTGTGATGGATTAGACACAGGTAAAGAATCTGGTAAGTCAAGCTTGATTTATATATTCAACATGTCTGAAACTGATGTCACCAAAGTTTCCAAACACTAAATGATCCCAGTGTTCAATGTCATTTTTTTTGGATCAAGCAACCAGCCAAAACAAATCATTTTCTTTGTTTTGTTTCCACTACGCTAGTAGACTTTCTGATAGTCTGAGGCAAAAAAGCAAACGCCAAAAATATTCCAGAAAATCTTTTGAAAAGTAAGAAATTAAAGACTTTTAGGGGAACTGAACATATCCAATACATATGGTCATAATGTAGGTTGTAAATCATTATTTGTTTTTAAAAATTGATGTAAAAAATAGTATCAAACTATATGGCATAGTTAATTCATTGGTGTGTTTTTTTTCATGGCTGGCAGGAAAGTTTTGAAAATTTCACTCTACAAAAATATAAAAAATATTAAACATTGTTTAATCAATAAAAAAAAGTTTAGACCTATGAAAAACTTGTAATTTCAATCATAATGGGCAAAGGAGAGGTTAGCATACACTGAAATAATTGCATCGTATGTCTCTTTAATGTGTATAAAGGCCAGAAATGTCACACGTTTGATCTAGTACAAACACAATATTAAAGCTTGCTTCACAAATTAATTTTATGAGATTGGTGACTTGATGAATTTCTTAATAATAACTAAAAGACAGGTTTTGACGTAATATGAGTTTGAGTTATTATGGAGGGATAAAGGGTTAATTTTCTTATTTGTCTAACCAAATTGAAACATGCAATACAAATAAACCTGATAAAAGATCCTTACTAGATTGTAGTTATGAATCAAGAAAGGCTAAAAGAAATTTAAATTGTTTAACTTTTTCTTAAGACTAGCTGTCAGTATAACAAGTTGAATTTGGTAGATTTATGATGGAATTTGTGCACTTTGACCTCCAACATGGTGACAAAAGGGAAGTAACTCTTGCTCAAATTGTGTCAATTTAAACCTAACTATTGCTCAGACTTCTTATTTCCAGGAGATTACAATACCAGTGTTAGTGCATCAGGTTTTTCAGCCTCTGTAAGTAGACCTAAATATGTGGTGAGAGGACATATTGTAAGATTTGACAAAGTATGGAGCAACATTGGAAATAATTATGATCTACAATCTGGTGTATATACAGCCCCGAAAGATGGTGCATATCATTTCTCTTGTTCAGTAATGTCTGGTGGTAATAAAGCGATTCGTGTAAGTCTGTGGAAAATAACCTAAAGACTGTTTCATCTTATTCTTACGATTCTAACAGTGGAACATTGAACTTGGTACTCGACTTGAAAAAAGGAGACAAAGTATGCATTAAACAAGATCATAATGAAAACTACATATATTCTGAACCTGAATATAACTTCAGTATGTTCTCTGGTTTTCTCATTTCATGAGTAACCAAGTCAGAATTATGATGCAGATAAGAATCCAATAAAATACATTTTTTGATACTATTTGTATGTTGTCTATTTATTCTTAAATAATTGAAAATAAAACCATACTGTGTATTTGTTCAAGTGATAAATCAAGCTCGAGTTGACCGCAGAGAAATTTGACTTGATGTGATAGTAATAAGTGTAAAGATAACTTAATTTTTACACAATACTAATCTTGAGACTTGTGTATTAATAGATGGCTGAAATTTTAAAAAATAATTCAATTCTAGAAGAAAATGACCAACTTTTGTAAGCTTATCTAAACAAATTTTCAGAATGAGCATTGCTGTCACGAAACATCTATCATCTGTCCTGCATTGTCTTCAAGACATCATGTGAAATGCCAAATTTTAGTTTTAGATTTAAATGAAACCCAGTATGACCTGCATCATTCCTGCTATTTCTAGTTTCAAAGACTTTTTATTTGACCTGATGAATTCCTGCTATATTTAGTTTAAAACAAACCTGATTTGATCTGAATAATTCCTGAAATGTATCAAAGTTCAAAGAAACAGAATTTGTTTCCATATATACCTCATTGATTGCTGCTAAGTTGAAACCTTATATGACCTGAATCTTTCTTGCAATGTAAAATTTTGAAGGAACCCTATTCATGAGCAGCCAGACTTTGGGCAATTTTCAAACTACAAACTGTGTTCTCTGTCAGTGCAAAAACTTATGGAAGGAGCAAGTTTTGATATACATTGGCTTGCATAATATTGTCAGTTAATTACTACATAATGTACAGTACCCCATGCATGTGCCTCTCTCTCTGATAATTTTAGCAAAGGCAGTTTGCCTTTTAAATGAGTTGTTTCCCTTAGAAAAAAATATATAAAATTGACAACAAAGTCTGTCATTTTAAAATGAACATTTAATGATGCCACTGACACAACCTAGTCTGATTCATATCTTAAATTTATTATAAATTGTAAAGGATAAAACTTCCGACAAACTCAGCCATTTCAATTTCCCTATTCTAAGCATTACCACACTTCATGCTTTATTTATGATGCTTAAATGAATTGTATTTCACAATAGACTATTTTCATATTACCGACTTTTGACTCTGGATTATATAATTTGTCGACTGGTTACCTTGGACATCATGGTACTCGGTCAAGTAAGAGCAACCAAAATAAGTAAAATCAAACATATAATCGGTGTAATTTGAGGGGAAAGTTTACTGTTTTCCGATGATTTTGTAGTGAAAAAAAATGTTAATCAGGTAATTTTCCCCCAAAATTGTACCGATTGAAAGCTTGGTTTTACTTCTTTAGCTTGCTCTTACCTGACTTAATACCATGATGTCCAAGGTAACCAGTCGACAAATTATATAATCCGGAATCAAAAGTCGGTAATATGAAAATAGTCTATTTCCATGAGGTTGTGCCTAAAGGTCATCATCAGAAGTTGTATGATCTTAAGTTCTTCACACAAATAGTGTCTCCTAAAATTCGGGAGGCTAACATCAATATTCCATAACAATAACCATTCTCAGATAGGATCCAATTCAATGATGGACATTTTAAATAACTGGCTTTGACTACAGGAGAATGTGATAGTTATCACATGTACAGTAGCATATACTTAACCATGTGAAACACTTCACATTTTTATGATTTTCTAAGATTTTGTTGTCAGTGTTGTCTGTTGTGTGGTTAGCTGTGGAAACATAGCTCTTATGGTCCATAGGACGTTTTTGTATTTGCTGACCATGGTTTGCCAATAGAAAGAACTATCCCAAGGATCGTAAGAGCTACAGTTTCCCGCCTATTGTTTTTGCATGTTATATCTGTTTTGATTGGCCATTTAAACCTAATTTATCCCATAAAAATCTTGAAGATGACCTCTGATTTTCTTTTAGTCTTTAGTTGCAATGAAGGATAGAATTTGTAGGATGATTTTAAAAGTTTATATGAAATCGAACAATTCATCCCACATGTATTCCTTCTAAAATATATGCAACTGTTATCATAAGAACAGAGTGTACTGCTTAGGTTAATGTATGAACACTTTAAACTTGCCACATGTTGTCAGCTTTTTAGATCCTTGTTGAAGACCTTTAAGCACTCAAGACATAGAAAAATAATAAAGGCAATGTTCCTTGTGATAAATTGGCTATTTCCTATATAAAAAATAAGGAGATTAGATTATGATTGCCAATGAGACATCTATTCACCAAAGTTCAAATAAAGTGGATGTAAGCAATTATAGGCAACTGTACGGTCTTCAACAATGAGAAAAAACCATACCATATAGTTGGCTATAAAAGGCCCCAACATGAAAAATATGAAACAATTCAATTGAGAAAACTAACGGACTAATTCATAACAAAACAAATATGACAGACATGAACCAACGACAACCACTGAACTACAGGCTCATGACTTGAGACGGGCACATAAAGAATGTGGGTGGGGGGGGGGGGGGGGGGGGGGGGGGGTTAAACATGTTTGTGAACACTCATATTTTCTAGTATTTTATCACATTTTGAACACACTATCATTTGTTTTCCTACCTTTGTGTGTCCTTGAGGTGGAAAATAATGTTTCTGAGTTCCACCATATTAAATAAAGTATTTTGGTAAGAATGACCCTAAAATTGCTATGAATATAAAATGGGCTGCTGTGGATTCATTATTATTTGTGGGATACCCATTTTCCTTGATACAGGTAAACCATGAATTTAAAAGTTCAACAAATTCTTAATTTTCTACAAGTTTGTATGATTAAAATCCTTGAAAATAGATTTTTTTCTCAATCCACGAAAATAAATGAATCCACAGTATTAGGTTATGTCCAAACAGCATCTTACATCACAAACAAACTCATCCAACATGAAAAAAATATACACAGGTACTTTTTTATAAAAATTTAATGTTTTACATCCTGGTTCGGAATGAGAATTACATAACAATGGACTATTTTGATATATACTAAAAGTTTTGATATATACTAAAAGAACTAGAACTAGCAGTTCCTCAATCGTCATCTCCCCCTCCTTCATCATCACCAAAAACACCAGAAAATCCATCATAATCTCCTTCATCTACTATTACAACACCTACAAGGCCACTTATAAATGCATATCCTATCATTGAAGACAAAGCAAACAGTGCTGCAAGAATCATGTTCCTTCTTTTGTTGGGGAATTCTAAGGAATCTACTTGTTTCTTTTCCCTTTCTTCTAATTCCCTTTTTCTTTTTTCTTCTAAATCTGAAATATTCATTGTTAAAATTGTAAGCAATAAAATTAAGTTTTTGACACAAAAATTATATCTCCCCCATTTCCTTCTAACCAATTTAAGTCGACAGATACTATGAATTTTTACTGTTAATACAGATATCTGTCTCACCTCTGTATCCTTATCACAAACTTTAACAGTTATTTGTTACTGGCACCAGAAACAGCACAGTTAAATCTAACTACTGCAACAGTACATTCTCATTGGTTTATGCCTGTCTTATTTGTTTTTCGTAAATTGTTTTGTTATAAAGTAGGCCGTTAGTTTTCTGGTTTGAAATGTCTCACATTTTTCATTTCTTTTATAGCCGACTATACAGGAAGGGTTTTCTCATTGTTGAAGGCCGTAGGGTGGCCTATAATTGCTTACATCCACTTCATTTGAACTCTGGTGGATAGATATCATACACAATCTTCTTATTCTTATATATGATCTGCACAAAAATTCACACCTGTTGGACAGACAGAAAACATAATTAATCCAATATGTTTATTGTCGTTGGCCATATAAAAATAGAAAATAAGATGTGGTATGTGGCAGAATCAATATATCCCCCACCTAGCAAGGTATACATATATGCTTACCTTCTGGAGACATTGGTAAATATTTATTCAAGATACGATTACATAATCCACTTAAATTAGGACATCCTTTTACATGGTTAGCTAATTGACTGTTTGGTAATGGTGCCTTCAGTAATGGTGCTACATAACCAAATACCAAAGCATCTAGTGATGATGGTCTGAAAAGGCATTGAAAAATATGTTTCAAGTTCTTATTACATTTACGTTTCTTAAGGACACTTTTATTAACTGCAGAAATAAGTTTTACTAGTAGTACAACATTCATACAAAATAAGTAAACCTGTATTTCTAAATTTAAAATATCAGGCAGAAATAAAATATTCCAACAAAAAGAATATCAAAATAAAATCACAGACTTGAAAGGTAGGGTTGCATAGAATGCTTCATAAGCAATAGAAAATTGTCTATAATGAACAATATACATGGAAATAAAAGTACTAAAATTAGGGAAAAATCTTCAAATAACTCCATAATGGGATGTATTAACTGCAATAGGTGTGCAAACATTTTGTAAATTTGAAAGATCTGGGTTGAAAACTGCAGGAGTTCTCTTGATTGCACAAAATTGGTACCCTGTTTTGAAAATATTGCTGAAAATGAGTTACAAAATATGAAAAAATAGAAAAAAAATCCTTAAACAATTCCAGAAAGGTATGTGTAGGTGCAGTATTTCAATATGTGTGAAATCTTTCTGTGAAACTTCAGAAACCTGTCCAAAAAGGTGTGTTTGTGGGAAAAATGTGAAAATAATTTTTCGATTTGACAGCACACATTTGATTATCATTTCCATCCATTCATATCACCTCAATGCATAAAAAAACATTTAGAGCACAATTTAAAAACAGCTTGACAAGGGATGCCTTTTTCAAGCCTAATGCAGCTATTGGATTTTGATAAAAATATTGCTGTAATTGTAAACTTTGATAGATTGTTTTGTAAATAGACAATATAAACAATTATTCAATCATGTTCATCTTCTTCTTAAAATGAACTGTTTGAATCCAATCCTTAAGCAATTTAGCAAGTGGTTTCATCACTTGAGTAAAGTGGAAAGCTTCTATCTAATTATCAAATAAAACTGCTGAAAAAAGACAATGTTTTATAGCCGCAATATTGTTTTTACCTTATTAAAGGACAAAAGTCAAGGTCATAGAAAGTCAAACAGCACACAGTACATC